CACAAACAGTCGTGGATTGAAGTGACCAAATTATTATTAGTTTTTTTGAAGGGATTATTACCACCAGAAAAGCGATCCGCCAATCGAGTAACAGTAAGGAAACTTTCCAATGGTTTGTCCTGCCCAGGAGTCAAACCAAGGTTCTCTCGCTTGCGAGGCGAGTTCCCTAATCACTCCACTACAGACCCTTGCGATGAGTCGATCGGTAACAAAAATTCCTTCACTGCAGTAACACAAAAGCTTACGTTCTGCACATCCAGGCCCCGAAATTCAACCTCGTCTTAGCCTGTACACTATCAAATTACATTTGTAAAGCACCTTTCACGTCGGGAGGAGAACAATTTTATCTCAAGAGCTAAGGTTGACACAGAATCGTGTGATATCCTTAAATATGATCTCAATTCTCTTTAAGAAACTGCAGAAAACCGTCTTCCAAATCAAGAACAAATTTAAGAAACCTCCACAATCTGCACCATCTTGACCTGTTCTGCCCGCTGTGCTGAGAGGTACCGGGGCCTTCAATTCAGCAAAATCTTCATAGCTCTGACGTGAACGAGAGCAAGTAGGTGGGGGGGAAACAAGAGGGAGAATTGAGAGTTTTACCATTCTGTGGGTGGAGGAGCTGTGACGAGCCTACCTTCACCGCAGAGACCAGAGGAGCTTTTTGCTGACACTGTTGTGCCAAAGGGAACTTTTGTCTTGGGTCTTGCAAACACTTCACATTTCAAGGTGTTGTCCATCTCCACCAACAATAACAAATTACGTTTGCACAGTACCTTTCAGGTCGGGAGGATAAAAGCGACCCAAATGATTTATCAGACTCATCGTACATATTGGAGCATACAATGACCACAAGGCCCATTCGAGGCTTGCATGTTTCTGCACTGGTTAATGCACCAGAACTCACGATTTTCTAACTAAAGAGATGTAACTCTGCCCCAGAACAGAGGAGGCAGATTGAATAGCAATGCTGAAACGAGAGACTAGCAGTTGCTAGCTGGGTGGTCAGAGTATGGTGAAAGGATAAGAACATAAGAAATGCCTGACGAAAAAAGACCAAGGTCCATCTAGTTCACCTTCCACCTTCCTGGCGGCCATATATTTGCACATATGTCCCAAACTCCCTATGTGCTGTATCCCATAATGTTATTTCCTAAAAGAAAACTATCTAATCTGTGTTTGAAAGTATCAAACTTCCGGCTTCAACCATCTCCCTCGGGAGCCTGTTCCACAGGTTCACTCTTCGCTCACTGAAATAGCGTTTGCGTAGATCTGTTCTGAATCTCCCCCTTCAATCTCAGGCCGTGGCCTCTGGCTTTACTATTCTGGACAAGTTGAAACAGCCCGTCATGATCTCGATTGTTTTGGCCCTTTAGAATCCTAAAGACAGCAATCACGTCGTCTCTCAATCCTCTCTTTCCCCGAGTGAACACGTCCAATTTCCTGAGTCGCTCCTCATAGTCCAGTCCCCCCCATTCCCTCAATCATTCTGGTTGCCCTTCTCTGCATCCTCTCGATTGCTCCAATATTGTTTTTGTGCTGCGGTGACCAGAACTGTACACAGTATCTGAGTATAGTCTCACCAGTGATTTATACAGCGGCAGGATTACCCCAGTACTTCAGCTATTGATCTTTTGATACATCCCAACATCCGGTTTGCTTTACTCACTGCCACTGAGCATTGTTGGGAGAACTTCAATTTATTGTCAATTTTCATTTTCCATACATATTAAAGTATTGGAATTCAACAACAACAACAAGACTCCATTTACAGAGCGCCTTTCACGTCGGGAGGACGTCCCAAAGCGCTGTACAGTTGGGTCAGGACCCGAGCATTGGGGGGGAAATGGTCAGGGTGAGGGGAGGGAAGGGAGGGAGCGAGGAGGGGGGAAATGGTCAGGGTGAGGGGAGGGAAGGGAGGGAGCGAGGAGGGGGTAGAGAGTCGAGAGCGGAGTTGAAGGTACGGTCAAAGAGAAAGGTCTTGAGACCGGCCTTGAAGGAGGAAAGGGAGGAAGTGGGGAAGGCACTGGGGATGGAGTTCCAGAGCCTCGGGGCTGAGAGGCTGAAGGCCACCGATGGTAGGGCGGTTGGGGCGGGGGATGGGGAGCAGACCGGAGCCAGAGGAACGGAGGGTACGGGCAGGTAAGTAATAGTGTATTGGAATTAAAAGATCTGCCAATAACTTATTAGATCTAATAAACTGATGGAACAGGCTCATTGGGCTGAATGGCCACCTCTGGTCCCTTATTTTCCTATGGTGCTATGTTCCTCACCAAAACTAAAACCAAAACGTCTTGGTTTTAGTTCACCATTGGCTTCTGAACTGTTATTTTTATATATATATTTGTGACACAAATACCGTAGCTTTTTAAATGCGAGCCCAGTAATTTGAGGATGATGAAGGCAAATAGCATATATTTGCTGATATATTTTATATTAAACATCTTCAATTAAGACAAAATCGAAAGAAAAATTTCAGAAAGGGGGAAGAACCTCATATGTACATTCCCAGGTGGTAGTGAAATGATATTTGATTTCAATTCACTTTACAGTGAATTGTGTTACTATTTCAGTCCTGGTGGCTGACAAACACGAACTCCTCAAAAAAGCACAAAGCCATTTAAAAAGCGACTGGTTCATATTACAGTGAGTTTCAGGGGCTTTTTAATAGAAAGGGAAACCCTAGTGCAGTCCAGTGTTACACCTCATGATATAATTAATTCCTAACTTAGCAGGTGTTCAACTTTATAATAAAAACATAAAATAATCCTTGCATTTGATAGAGAACCTTATCACGTCTTTGAGGCGTCTCAAAGCGCTTCACAGGATATGCTGTAAAATGGATTGACTGTGTACTTTGTGGGTAAAACACGGCAGCCAATTGCGCACAGCAACGTCCCACAGACAGTCATGGATTGATTGATTGATTGACCAAATTCTTATTTATTTTTAAATTTTGAAAGGAATATTACCCCCGGAAAAGCGATTCACCAATCGACTAACAATCAGGTTCCTACTTACTGTTAGGTAAACAGAGGCGTGTGGAGTAAGGAAACTTGTCCAACGTTTCCCCCTGCCTGGGAATTGGACACAGGTCCCTCTGGCTTGCGGGGCGAGTGCCCTAACCACTGAGCAACAGGACTTCACGTGCGTGCGCGCGTACATACGCGGGTGTAGCTTTCTAATTTTCTTAAATATTCTGCGTAAAGTTGAATCGTTTCAACGAGTCACTGACTCCACCGCACTCAGCTGCCAAAGTTCACATCACTGACAATTTTCGCTTATACAGCACCTTTCACATATCAATGTACGTCACCAAAGGGAGATAGTGGGCAGCAGGTGGCGGGATTCAAAAAAAATCTCTCAATTAAAAAAATGGAACGTTATACCAACGCAAGTGTCCAACAACAATCCAAATAAAAATCAAATCAACCATTCAGAATATTCTTCCAATGTTATCTCCTTACCTCTCTTCTCCTGCGTGTGGTGACTTGCTCTGAGAATCAGGTATGAATCTTCCTCGGTAACCCTGTTGGAGGCCCTCTGTTATAGGTTGGAGTGAGGGTAGAGCCCAGCCTGGCTTTGCCTGATAGTCACACAGCCTCCTGATATTGTGGTCGAAGCATAAGGCACCAACGTATTTAAGAAGAAACTTAAATGAGGGAGATGTGAGGCAGAAGAGAGGGATATTGGAGATGGGGGTGAAGTAGTTGGCCTGAATGGCCTGTTTCCATACTGTGATGTTCTATGTAACTCTACATTGATCAGAAGTGCAATTCATAGCCAATTCATTCCCCGGTCCCCATTTAGCCAATTGGCTAAGCCAATTGTATTGCCCTCCAACCCTCCCCTTCCCCTCACTAATGTCTTGGCTGCGACGGTTTAACTCAATGGAAAACATCTGTTGGGACCTTCCTCTGCGATTCAGAGTCAGAGTCAGACCACATCACAGGGCCATTTAGTCATCAGAGAGACAACCATGTTAAACAATTACACCCATTGAAGTGAAGGTGGTCGCTCCAATTTAGATTCAATGGGCACAATGATACGCACTCATACGCACCCCCCTCCCACCCCAGCCCCCTCCCAGCCCACCCCCCTTTGCTATAATGTCTACGATACAAACATTTGCGACATAAACGGGTTTTGGTGCCCAATCTTCACATTGAAGGATAGAAAACTTTAAACTATATAAACTTTTTAAACTTTTTTCTTTAGCGAAGTGACCCAAGCCCAGAATCTGAACCTTTCAGCCAGTATTGAAGGGTTCCCAAAGGTCTTGCCCACCTTTGGTGATGTCTAGGCTGGACAAGCCGGATTTGAACTTGGGTCTGGTACAAGGTGTCCACAAAGACATGTTACCCCCCCGTGCGCCCCCCCCCATGAACATGGAGATGGATCATTATCTGCCACGAAAATGATAGCGCTCACACACACACACTCTCTCTCTCTCTCTCTCACACACACACCGATCTTCTGTACCTCTAAATACACAGTTAAACACTTGTACTGAATACGATTAAGTACTTCAAAATATGCCACATGTTCCGGTCGTTGGTAAGTCAGTGCGCTGTAGAGGAAAAGTAACACATGGGGGTAACAGGACTTTGTGAACACCCTTGTGGAGCTTAATAACTGATGTGTGGCACCGCTTCACGCCTCTAGTTTGAATGTGCTCAGAGTCAGCCCTGCCATCGGGTGCTCGCTCAGTGTTTTAACAGGAACTGTGTCCCCGTCCAAGCTCTCTCTGCTGTTGCACAGACACGGGGCACAGCACTCCCTGGTGACCAACACCACCAGGGACCCCAGTGCCAGGAGCAAGGCCAGGGAGAAGATGATCAGCAGAAGCGGGTTCTTCTTCTTGACCTTCCCCTGAAGACATCTCACTGTGTGATCGCGGAGCAGTCTGACCCTGGACGAGCTGTTGTATGCGGAGTAGAAGCAGTCAGCCTGGCCCACATCTGGGATGCCCACTCCCGAGCCGTTCAGGATCTCCAGCCAAGTCAACGTGCAGCAGTTCAGGTGGTTCCCGCTCAAGTGCAGGGTCTGCAGGTCCGGGAAGCATTCCTGATCATCTCCTCTTGGAAACCATGGAATCCATTCTTCCGGACATCCAGGTCCTCCAGCGGAGCACACCCAGTGCCATTGGGCAAGGAGTCTAACAAGTTGTGGGCCAAATCCAGCTTCCTCAGGTGTTTCAGGCACCTCAGCCCCAGGTCGGCGGTCTCCATTGAATTCCACCGAAGAGAAAGAGATTGCAACGAGTGCTCCAAGCCCTCAAGCGCCAGATCCGCCATTTCCAAGTGTTGGTTTCTCGAAAGGTCCAGGTGTGTCAGGGGGGTTTGGGAGAAGGCGTGAGGCGCGAGCCATTTGATGCCATTCCCGTGGAGGTTCAGTGACTTGAGAGAGAGGATGCCAGAAAAAGACACACAGTGACTCTTGTTATCGTTCTTGGCTTGAACCGATGTCACTGACGCTGTGTTATCCACATGGCAGATCCTTACATTGTTGTTGGCGAGGTTCACCTCCTCTATGTTGGGAAGGACTTTGAAAAGGACGGTAGGCAGCAGCTGAACAAAATTATTCTGAAGGTGCAACGACTTCAAGGAAGGGAGACGCCTTGACATATTGACTGCCACCCGGAGAGTCCGAAGGTTGTTGAGGCTCAGGTCCAAGGAAGACAGGGAATCGAGCTCAGCATTGTCCTCCAGGGTGAAGTTCTGGAAACAGTTCCTGCTGAGGTTGAGAAGCTGAAGGGAGTTAAACGGGTTGAAAGCTCCAGGAGATACGTTCATTAAGGCATTGTTACTTAAATCCAAAGAGATCAGGGTGGGGAAGTTCATTGACCGGTTTGGCAGATGAGTTAATGCGGTGACTTCTTTATACACGTTCTTCGTGACCCAGCCTTCGGGGAAGTTTGGCAGCCCGCCGGCCAGAGTCACTATTATATTGCCGGACAAGTTCAGGTGTTTTAATCGTGGGAACGTGGGAAGAACGGGGAAGTGGAGCAGCCTATTGTGACTCAGATCTAGGACCTGAAGTTGGTACCTGAAGAGATCCTCACTGGCCCCGAAGAACTCGATGGCGTTCCTGCTCAGGTTCAGCAACCGCAGCTCAGGCAGACGGAACTCAGAGACACAGGCGAGAGAATTCATGGCCAGGTTCAGCTCCGTCAGGTGGACGAGGCACTCGAAGGTCCCTGCAGAGATCTCCGTGATGGAATTCCTCTCCAGGTGGACCTGCCTCAAGCCCCTCATCCCGCAGAACATCTCGGGCGTCAGCCTGGTCAGCTTGTTGGCCGACAGCCCCAGCCTGGCCAGTGAGGGCAACGTCTTCAAGTACAGTGTGACCATTTCATTGTCCAAGCCGTTCCCAGTCAGGTCCAGCTCACGCAATCTGGTCAGCGAGCTGAAAGCCCCATCATTCGATGAAAAGTTCTTGCCCAGCTGGTTGTTTGCCAGGATGAGGACCCTCAACTGCCCCAGGTTCTCCAGTGCCCCCGGCTCTATGGACCCCACTTGGTTAAAGGAGATGTCTAGGTGGCGCAGGGAGCTGAGGTTCCTCAGGGATTTCACCGACAAAGTTCTGATGGCGTTGTAGGACAAGTCCAATTTTTTAATGCCAGGTATCTGAAGTGAGGGGACCACGGACAGGTTTCTGTGCTGACAGGACGCCTCATAGTCTTTCTCCTAAGTAAGATTAAAAGTTTTTATTTCGCTTTAGTATTCTGAAGGCTTTGCTGTGTGTCTTTTTTTGTCCCCCAATCTGTCTACCCCACCACTGGTGGGCGGGTGGGCTGTTAGCCATTCTGCCCCCACTTGTTGGAACTCCATCTCAGGATCCCTCCCTCTCTCCCCTTGTTCAAGGCACGTCTAAAAACATACCACTTTGACCACATTTTCAGTCATCTTTCCTCTCCCCCATTACCCTTGGCCCCCCCACCCCGCTCGGTTGCCCCCCGCACCCCCCGCCCCAGCGCTCTGAAGACGTGCTCTGAGACGTCCTCCCAAGATGGACAGGAGCTGTGTAAATGTAACTTGAACTGGTATTGGATCTACTGAGAGGGAAAAATATGCTCTAAGATGAAATTCTACACTGAATCTCAAGTACAATCAATTACAGAGTTCCTCGGCCACGAAATTCCACCTTGTTTTAGCCGCTGGGACCATTTGGCCATAAAATTACGATCCCGCAGAATTGTGGAAAATGTTTAAATTTGTGTGAATTTAGAAGTTGTTTTCCTACAGTTATTGTTATTAATAATATTAAAAGTTATTACCAATAATAATCTTAATAATAATCCTTGCATTTGATGTAGAGCGCCTCATCAATTTGTCGAGACATCTCAAAGCGCTTCAGGGGATAGACTTATTCAAAAAAAAAGGCTTCCGAATTAAGGCTGAATTAAAAGATTTTGCCCAATTCGGTTTCATTTTACAAACAGACAGGCAATTAGGAGCACTTTCTGCTATCAATTGCGTGCAAATATAGCCTAAATAGGTCCGATGTTAGACTTTTCACCAGTAAAAAAAAAGGTTATTGTTATATGTGTCCATGACTGTTCGTGGGACACTGCTGTGCACAATTGGCTGCCGTGTTTCACCCACAGACAATTCACTTTACAGTATATCCTCTGAAGCGCTTTGAGACTTCTCAACAAAGTGACAAGGTGCTGTATCGAATGCAAAGATTATTATTCCAGGTAAACCCTTATTCCAAAAAAAACTTATTATCAGATAGCAATTTTTTTCCGACGCTTTCCTTTTTTCCCAACAGGAAAACGAGTTAAAGTTTTAGAATCCCTCCAAAATATGTACATTTTTTTAAAACGAAAATAAATTTAGATTGAGTGGCAGAATAATCTCAACCGGACTCCTGCTGTTCAAAGATAATTTCGCCCACAAAATACACAGTCAACGTACTTCATAATATATTCTGTGAAGCTCTTTGAGATGACTCAAATACATGATAAGACTCTATATCAAGTACAAGGATTATTATTAATATAATAATTGCTGAGTATTTTCTGTACACACACACACACACACACACAGACACGAGAGAACATCTGATTTCAAACGAGAGAGGAGAAAAAAAGACGAAACCGAATGAAAAGAAGGAGGAAAAACAAAAAGAAAGATAATAATCCTACCTACCATTTGGCAGATTTGCTGTAAATTTTGGACGCTGTGGTGATCACACCTGTTTGGGACACAGTTTAATACAATGGCCCAAAACAGCATTGAAAGCATCATGTCTCTGCCCAGTCAAAAGGAGAATGAATTACATTGTCATTCCGGAGTGGGGGGAGGTTAACAATACAACAATCATTGGTGGGGGTGGGGGATGTGTGTGTGTGTGTTGTGGGGGGGAAAATGTGTGACTGAAATATGTGATAATTAAACATCATCTGCGCACAAACACTGTCCAAGTTACAACGTGACTTCTGACAATGTTGATAACAGCCCAGAATAGATGAAAGCTGCCCACACACGTACTCACATCCCACTCCACTGCCCTACAACGCGTTTCCTTTTTCTGTTTCTGCTCGGTCATGTTGGCGATTCGTCGAAAACTTATTATACAGAAAGAAAATTCGTGGAAGCAGATCTGAACCCACAGTATTCCTCTCCCGAAATATCCATGAATTTATTCCAATCATTTTTTTGATGCATGGGGTGAAAGGAACCTTTTTATTTCAATACTGGATTGCTTGTTAATATATGTGTCTACGTATATATCCCAGGATTGTTCAGATATGTCAATTTAACATCTCATCCGAAGAACGGCAGCTCTGACAACGCAACGTGCCCCCAGCACCATACCAAATTGCGACGGGCAAACTATTTGTTTAAACATTTATCGGTTTTAAAATAAGATAACTACAATGAAATATAATAGTATAATTGGAATAACCCTAAGAGCTTAAAATGATCTATTTGCGAATTAAATTTCCAGAAGATAATGCAAAATAACTTTGCTTGTACGTACCGTGACAGGTCCTGGATTCGGAGTAATACAAAATCAAGTGTTGCTGTGGATTTTTTAAAAGTTGGAGTAATTTTGGCGTCATTTCATAGACCCAAAGACAAGAGTCACCTGGTGGAAATTAACAAAACTGCAGATACAGTCCCTAGATATTGTTTTGGGGTGGGATGGGGTGAAATTGGGAAATTATTTTGCCGCTCGCTCTAAATCCTGAGCCTGTTCTTTTTTAATTTGAATCCTGGAAAAAAAAACTGCTCCGTTCTTCCCAAATGAGATTTCTGCTGTTGGATTAACAGTAATAATACAATAATGATATGAATAATAATCCTTGTATTCGATATAGCCCCTTATCGCGGCTTCGAGACGTCTCAAAGAGCTTCACAGGATGTACTGTAAAGTGAAATTGACTGTATATTTTGTGGGCCAATAATAATAACAGAAACAACTTTCATTGATTAGTGCCCTCCGAGAGGCCGTTCAGTCTATCCTATCTGTATCCCCCTCTCTTCCCTCCCTTTCTCTAACAAAGAGAGAAATTTGCTGTCTTCAAAATGGCTGCTGCGTTCGCCCACAGGACTCGCACAGTCACTACGCTTTACAGCACATCCTGTGAAGCGCTTCGAGGCGTCCTCCCGACGCGACAGACGCCAAAGAGATGCAAATTGTAAAGTTAATTGTGTTCCACTCCCCCTTTGCTCTTTCCTCTTTTTCGATTTTTCCCTTTCAAATGTCTGTCCAATTCCCTTTTGTGAGTTCTTACACAATCTGCTTCAATCGTGGTATTTTGGCGGGGACATTCCGTGTCCTATTAGCCTCTCTTAGAAAAAAAACCTCCTCACCTCTTCCTACTTTTTGGTAATTATTATTAAAAAAAAATATTTTTTATGTCCTCAGAGAAAACACTGGAAGCAAACTTTCCCCATTTGCCGTACCGAAAGTCCACACTACCCTCTGTGATTCGGGTGAGACATTAAACCGAGGTCCCATCTGCCTCCTCAGGTGGACGTTAAAGATCCCATGGCATCACTTCGAAAAGGGAAGGGAAGTTTCTCTCTTCCAACGTCCTGGGTCAACAATCCCCCAAATAAAATTGGCCATTTGTGGGACTTTACTTGGCTGCCGCATTCGCCCACATGGTCACAACCACTTTACGCTTCACAATCCTGTCAATGTCAACAGCTGCCCTTCGGCAATGGGGCTGCTCCACATCACCAACAGCACGGGAGCAACCAATCCGTGCACTTGGTACAGCATCACTCGCGTCAGGAGGGTTTCACGGGCTTCACCGCGTGTTCGGTAGGCGAACACGGCAGCCCGTTTGCACACGCCGAAATCCTGCAAAACAGCCGTGAAACGTTGTGCCTCATGCAAACACTCCTACAAATGGAGCGAGGCTTCCTCCTTTAGTTCCCCAATTGGAAGATCACAGAGTTTCTCTTACCTCTGCCCATAGCGGTGAACCCACAGAACACAACCACATTGCTATTACTCTTAAAGTAAGGTACAATAATCCTTGCATTAGATACAGCGCCTTATCACATCTTCAAGACGTCATGAAGGGCTTCACAGAATATATGTAAAGTGAAGTGACTGTATATTTTTGTGGGTGAAACTTTATTAGGAAGAATATTAGCAGCAGGTTGGCCCGAGCCAAGGTTTGGGGACCCCAGAGTGTGTGTTGGGGTAACTGCTGGAGTCTAACCCATAAAACTGTTGCATCAAATAGGAAGGGTATTGAATTAATGTGTGGTTCTGTGTGCACATACAATTTCTGTTTGGTCCACAAGATGGAGACGGTCGATGAGAAGCTTTGAGAGGACAATAAAAGCGATGCAGGGGAACTTGTCCATTGAAAGTTCACGAGAAAGTGAATGTCACATTAAGATCGGCTGTCAACATAAGATTGGCTTTGTTTTTTTTAAGGGGTTTTTACACATTGAAAATAAAGGGAAAACTGTTCATGGAAAGTTTGATATCAATAGAGAATCGTTCAAAAGGAGAACTGGATAAGCAGTTAAACAGTAAAAAAAACATTAAAGGGATGTGGGGAGATACAGTGGCCTTTCCTTACCCCACACGCCTCTGTTTACCCAACAGTAAGTAGGAACCTGGTTGTTAGTTGATTGGCGATTCACTTTTCGGGGATAATAATGACTCAAAAAATTTGGGTTTCTCAATATACTACTGTTTGTGGGACATTGCTGTGCGAAATTGGCTGCCGTTTTTGCCCACAAATTACAGTCAATCCGCATTCTGTGAAGCGCTTTGAGATGTCTCAACGCTGTGATAAGGCGCTATTTATATCAAATGAGAGGATTATTATTAATAAGTGTTTGACGGAATCACAGCATCAAACAAACTCAGGTACAATAAATCTGAAATCTGAAACAACACTGTCTGATACATACAAGTTTGTTTATTTTTTACAGAGATGAAGTAAACCTGGCAATTTCCCTGTTGGATTTAGTGTAATTTATTGCGTTTATCTGGTTTCTTTTTGGCTGTGCCGTTACACATTTCGGAACACTTTGAACAACTCGAATAACAGAACGACTTGGCCTTTTAGTCAGGGTTTGCGGTCGTTTTATGGTCTGTACAGTACAGCTTAGAGTTGATAACAATTCTTAAAAGATAAACGCTGACTCTATATAAATATATATATATATATATACACACACATATATGTGTATACATCTTGTAACAATTTCAGGGAGGGAGGATGTGGAGGGTTCTGAAGTTTAAATTACTAGGATTAGAAAGTCTTTGTAATTAATACATAAAAACAGTCTTTTTGTGGGCGCGCGAGTGGGTGGGGTGCGTGTGTTTGTAGAGTTAGAAACTCCTTATTTAGTGCAGCGAGACTGTGTTTTAAAAGGAACGTCCTTTTGGGACAGCGGCTAACGTTCTACCCTGGATGTCCTTTGGTAATTACAAGTGACACACAAGCTCCTTCCTGGGGATGGGCTTTGGTAATCCACCTCGACGGCTGTAATGTCTTTAAAGGAAATAACCTTCTGCAATGTCCTTCTTAGCCACTTCATTATCTCCTTAGCAGGGGATTTGGGTCGCCATCTGGGCATCTGCCCACATGCTCCGTGGTTGGGAGGTATGAGAGGACCTGCTTGACTTGTGCGATCTTCTTCACTGTCTTCTTGAACTGAAACTTCTTTGTGCCTTCAGGGCTGCAAGAGAACAAGAGGGGAGAGTGTTCCGTGACTGACCGAACTGGGGCAAGGTCCCTCGCACTCAACTTCCGCGGGTCACCATCCTGCCGGGAGAAAGCGCAGAGATCCAATGGTTGGTGCATTGGTCGGGGCAAGCACACACTCACTCTCCCTCACTCCCACACATACACACACGATCACTTACTCACTCACACTCACTCACAATCCCTCCGTCACTCACACACTATCCCTCACTCACACTCACTCACAATCCCTCACTCACATTCACAGATTATCACACATACTCACTTACACACACACAATCACAAACACACTTACATACGCTCACACACACTCACTCACACACGCAGACTCACTCAGACACGCACACATTCAATGAGTATCACACGTACTCACACACACTCACGCAGACACTCACACATCCTCACTCACTCACTTTCACACAATCACAAACACACTCACGCATTCACTCACAGAATATACACAAGCGCTCTCACACACATTCAGTCACACATGCATGCACACAACCTGACACACTCACTCGTGCACACACAAACACAGACACACTCACATACTTAGAGGCAAAGAAGGTGGACCCTTGTGTATTAAAGAAAACCATCTTTCTCACTGCGCCATCGGAGCTGGAGGTAGTACCTCCTCTCCCTCCCCAACTCCCCTGCCTGCCAATGCCTGCTCTCTTCTTCCCAGAAGCTGTGTCAGCCTGGCACGCTCGCACTCTCGCCTCCGAGTCAGAACTTTGCGGATTCAAGCCCTCACGTCAGTGTCTCTGAGCTCACAGCCTAGGCTGGCGCTCCTGTGCTGTGCTGTGGGGAGAGTGGGGGGAGCACTGCATTGTCGGAGGTGCCGTCCTTCGGATGAGACATTAAACTGAGCTCCCAGTCTGTGCTTGTTCAGGTGGTCACGGGGCACTGTTCGAAAAGAGGAGGGAGTTTCTCTCTCCCGGTGTCTTGACCAAAAATCCCCCAAATAAAATTGGTCACTCGCTTCACTGCTGTTTGCGGAGCTGTTGCTGTGCGCAAATTATTATTATTATTATTATGTAACGTTACACATTTGCAACGCGTAACATTACCTCGTTTTTTCCTTTTTGAAGCTTTTGCGCTCTTTTTTTTCTGTACGGTGCCATCTCTTCCAACTGCAGACCATGAGCAGTTTGCCTGCGGAGAGACAACAGAACAGTGATGAACAGGGTGTGGGGGGTGGGTGCGGGAGGGGAAACACGAGGCTGCAGAGAATGTCCCAGAGATAAGAACCTGACGCTCCTTACCCCGGCTTATATTGTGGAGGAACCGGTAAAGGTTTGGTGAAACCATCTTTGCCTACAAGCCAATACGTTTCTTCTATTGCTTTACCCTTTTCAAGAAAAAGGAAAAAAAAAATCACCAGCAGCAAGTTTTACATATTAATCATAATAATCCTTGCATTCGATATCGCGCCATATCACGTCATTGAGACGTCTCAAAGCGCTTCACAGGATATATTGTGAGTGGACTTTTGTGGGCGAAAAGCGGCAGCCAATTGCGCACAACTGTGTCCCATAAACAGTCGTGGATTGAGTGACCCAATTTTTATTTACTTATTTATTTTTGGAGGAATTATTACCTCTGGAAAGCGATCTGTAAACAGAGGCCTGTGGGGTAAGGAAACTTGCGTAAGGTTTCACCCTGCCCGGGAATCAAACCCGGGTCCTCTTGCTTGTGAGGCGAGCGCGCTAACCACTACGCTACGAGACCCTTTGGCAGCAATGAGGGGGAGAAGGGGGAGATGTCTCTCTAAGGGTCTACGCAAGCAGTGAGTGCGTGGGACATACTTTGAGCTCCGCCCTGCCTCTCAACTGAAGCCTGTATCCTTCATTCAGATCTTGAAGTATCTTAACAGTACTTTGGTTGACTTGAATGCGGTAAGCTGCAAGGAGAACAGACGTCAAGTCATCAGAGTTGCAAACTTTCACAACAACAACAAATTATATTTGTGTAGAGGAGGGGGCAAGGTGTCTGCAAGATGCCCTTTTCTATCCCACCGCACCCCTGACCTATCTGCCCTCCCTCTCCAATAACCCCTTTTAAACCTCCGGTCAAGTCAAAGACCCTTTGAGTCAAAAGACAAAAAGACGCACAATCTCAGCATTACGGAGGTCCCGGAAGTCTGCCCGGTCTGAACAATTTCAGCTCCCTCCGAATTTAATATTCCAATGTATCGAATTCACAGTTGCACAACAACAACAACTTACTTCTATACAGCGCCCATCACTCAGGATAGCGACTCAGAGCGCTTAACACCCCCAGTCCCACCATCACCGTTCTTATTCCCCTCACCTACACCTCTCTATTCCATTAATATTTCCCTTAATTCCCTCCTCTCCTCTCCTCTCCTCCCCGCACCCCCCCCCACCACCACACAAGCTCAGACCAAGAACCGCAGGAAGAAGTGCCGCAACGTGGACGAGGCAGAGAATCGGTCGCGGTTACTCACGGAAGCCGGAGGATTCCATACGGGAAGCCGTTGTCACTGTGTCCCCAAACAGACAGTACCGAGGCATGGTCAGCCCCACCACCCCCGCGACACATGGTCCTGCAGAAAGGAACACAGCTCCTGTTAGAGTCAGCGGCGGACACGAGATAAACACTCCGCCGCTGATTTGAGTCTAGATATTTGTCGGGTGGGGGGGGGGGGGGGGGGAGGGGAGGGAGAGGGTAAGGGGGAAGGGTGTGATTGAGGGAGGGCAGAAAGGAGCGTACCAGGTTTTGACAAAGTGAAGGTTAAACTTCTCAAACCCCTATAGCTGTTTCGGGGCAAACTCAGAGGTTTGTGCTGTGGGTTTTCCAATGGGGGTGGGGTGGGGGGAACGGGACGTTGAGCTGTCCAGAACTCGATGAGTTATTAAGGAGGGAGACGGAGACTGACCAGTGATCACTGACCGGTCTGTGTCACTCCCCGTTGCAGAGGGAGACTGGCAGAGAGTAGGGACCAGTTGGCGTTTGTGTGTGTGTGTGTGTGGGTGTATGTTGGTGTGTGTGTGTGTGTATGAGTGTGTGTTGGTGTGGGTGTGGGTGTGTGTGTGTGTGTGTTGGTGTGCCCTTACCTGAGTGCAGACCTATGCGGATTCTGACTGGCACATCTGGCATATGTCTCATTTTAAAGGTACCCACTGCGCTCAGGATGTCCAGCGACATGTTTGCGATCTCGGCCGTGTGCCGGTTGCCGTTCCTCGTCGGGAGCCCGGAGGCCACCATGTACGCATCTCCGATCGTCTCCACCTGCGGGAGCACAGCCGGCGGGAGTCAGGAGCAGGCGGGCAACTGGCTGCCACGATCTGCGCCTTCAGCCACTACGCCTCGAAACTCTGTCACTCTCTCCCTCCGAGCCCACCCCCCACACCCCACCACCTGCCTCGCCCCCTTCCTTCCCCATCTTCAGTTCGTGCCCGAAGAAGACCTTCCTCTGCGACCGTGCCTACGGTCACCTCCCCCTCCCTCCCCCCAGCTCGGGGGTGCTGTGAGGGAACGGTCAGTAGCGAAATCAGACCCTCCTCGTCCCCCGCGCTGGGTCTCGTTTCTCTCTGCGCTGGAACGAGGATGAGCAGCTGTTCCCCATTTACCTTGTAGACATCGTGATTGTCCAGCACTGCGTCAAACAGCGTGTAGAGGTCGTTCAGGAGGTCGACCACCTCAATAGGCTCGCTGTTGGCCGATATCGTGGTGAAGCCAACGATATCGCTGAAGTACAGGGAGACCTGGTCAAAGTGCTCGGGCTCCACTGTGTTGCCCAGTTTCAGCGACTCCGACACCGACCTGAAAAATGGGGGTGGGAGGGGGGGTGGGGGGGGAGAGCTTGTGGTCAGACGCTCAGCAAACACTTTTGTTTTTACTCTCAGCCGTGCATCTCCGCCTCGCACCCGCCCACCTCGCTCCCCCGTCTTTAAATTCCACCTGGAAACCTATCTCCTCGACTGCCCCAAAGGTCATCTCTCCCTCTCCCCCTCGCTCGTGTCCGACCCCACCACTGCACAGCCTCTTGGCAGGCGCTGTCCTACGTGAAGGGCTCTACGCAAATGCTTCAGTTATTGTTGTGTGTTGCTGCGAAACTGAGAGAAGCAGCAAGTGGTACAGGGACTCGGAGCATTGAATGGTGGCTGTTCCTGGTTTGTGTGTGAAGTGGGGGGGAGGAGTGAGGGCTTGAATCTTTTGCAGATCCACAAACAAAACGGGGCGAAACCTTAGGCAAGTCTCCTGGCTCCACGCGCCTCTGTTTACCAGCAATAAGTAGGAACCTGTTTGATCATTGATTGGTGACACACACACACTTATTTGGGGTCAACACTGCGGTATTCATAAACACATTTTTTCTCCTCTTGAGTGCGTCTCCCCTTTTCCCTCCCCCATGGGTCTGTCCCCTTCCCATCTCTCCCACCCCTGCCCCCCCCCCCCCCATGGAAAGGGCTAAAACAATTCACTCACTGAGGTAACATCTGTGTTAGCAGCTTCTCTGTTTTCTGTTTCTCGATCTCTAACTCCTCGGTCCTCTCCCTGATCAGGTCCTCCAAGTTGCTGGAGTACTGCTCCAGCATCCTCAGCATGGAGTCAATGATGTTGGTTTCTTACCCTTGTTGATGTTTTTGAACTGCGGAGACCAAACACAGGGCGGTCACGAGAGAGAAGTGGGGGGGGAAGAGCATGAGTCGGAGGGACTCTGGGGGTTGAGTTCCAGAGAGCAGAGAACGAGGGGGGGAATTGTTACACCCTCCCCCCCCACATACACACACACACACACACACAATCCCTACAAGACATCCATCGCCCCAATGAAGACCGGTCACCTGGTCAAAGATCTCCTCGAAGTTGTATCTCCTCTCAGGCACCTCGGTCCAGCAATGTCTCATCAGCTGAATGCACTCGGGGGGAGCGTGATCCGGGTTAATGTTCGGTCGGAACACAGGAGGCGGCTTCTTTACCTTCTGAATAATATCTGCGGACATCCATAAATAAGTAAACAGATAAACAAGCAGATAAATAAACAAACAAAACAAACAAATCCACAAGTAACTGTGAATACATAAAATCACCCACAAAATATATATGTATATATATATATATATAGTCAATTCACTTTACAATAAATCCTGTGAAACACTTTGAGACGTCTCGACGATGTGATGAGGCGACGCTCACCTTCAACTGTGAGATCGAACATGCAGTACGGGGGTCCACGGACCACCACCTCCTGCATGATTATGGAGAAGCTGTACACGTCGCCCTTCTTGGTGCCGTTGTGAAAGGATTCAGTTTACGCAGGATCTCGGGGGCCGTCCATAGGAAGTCTGGGGTAAAAATAGCACGAGTTCTGTTACCTTCTTAAAAGATGTAGAAATGAGGTCACTCAAATCCACCACTGTTTGTGGGGCCGCCGCTGTGCACAATTGGCTGCCCCGTTTCTGTTGGCGAGCCCTGTAATGAAGCACACTGTCGTGGATCTCCGATGGGAGACGCAAGGAGCCGTGACAGACTGGGGTTGGGTGTGGGATTGATTTACCTTCTACTTTCGGCTCCGCCAGTGGGACCCGCTGAGCCTCCACCACCTCCATGTATCCGTAGTCCGTCACTTTGAGCACGAAGCGACCGTCCACCACGCAGTTCCGTGACTTCAGCCGCCCGTGCACGTAATCTCGATGGTGTAAATACTTCATGCCCTTGAGGTGAAGGTTGTGAAGGGATGATACGTTTTACCAGCAAGTGCGATTCGCAATTGAACAGTGAGCTTCATGTCTCAGAGCGTTTCACGTGGCCGGCTGGTCACCCGAGCCGGGGACGGGAGCCGGGGCTGCAGAGGATGGATGGAGGTGGGTGGGGGTGGGAGGTGACCAAAAGCATGATAAAATTGGGGAGCGCTGGGGGCAAGTCAGAGGGACTGTAGGATGGAGTTCCTACAGGGGGTAGAATGACTGATAGCTCGCCATCCTTTGGAAGGGACGTTAAACCGAGGTCCCTTCTATGCCTGTTCAGACGGACGTCAAAGATTCTGTGGAACTATTTGAAAAGTGAAGAGTTTCTCCGCGTTGTCCTGACCACCAACACCGCCCCCTCCAAACCCCACCCACACACCCAAGACAAAATCAGTCGTGGCTTTCACGGGAGGTTTTGTGCTCAAGTCGGCTGCCGCACTTGCCGACAAAATACACAGCCACTACACTTTGCAGTAAATCCCGTGAAGCACTTTGGGGCAAGTATCAACGTAAACTGTTCGTGTTGTGGACGGGAGGTTCGGACCTCGTACCTTGATCAGATCCAGCAGAAGTGACGACTTGAACATCCAGTCCAGCTTCACGTCCTGGTTGCTCAGAAGGTCCTGGAGGCTCCCGCGGGTGCAGAACTCTGTCACGATGGCCAGCAGCCCGCAGTCATAGAAGAAGCCGAGAAAAAGGTTCACATTCTCTTGCCGCAGATCCTTCATCTAGGACAGCGGAGAACAGCGGCCAGTCAGACACGTGGGAGACAGAAAAGACGTGCTCACATTTTGCGGGGGGTGAGGTCAGCGGAATCTGTGGTATAAACAGATTACCTCTATATTCCTATACACAAACAAGGCTGAATAGAGCTCATAGTCTAAGCTGGCACTCCCATTGAGTGACAAGCGAGCACTGCATCAGCCAAAGTGCTGTCCTTTGGAAGAGACGCTAAATCGAGGTCCCTACTCTTTAGGTTTTTTCGGGGCCGGAGGGGTCAGCTGGGTGTCTGACACACGTCGAAACCCATCACCGTTGCCTAAGAGTTTCCAAACCATTCATGAATAACATTCATCCCACCCAGACATGGAAATCCCGGAGATAGATTGTTGGAATGGAATGCGCACTCTCTCTCTCTCACCCTCTGTCCCTGGAGGGATGCATCCTGCTGGAAAATATTAGGCACAGGTTGGTGAGAGCCAAGCCTCGGGGTACCCCAGAGTGTGCGTATAGGGGTAACTGCTGAAGCCTAACCAGCTAAAACTGCATAGTTTGTCATTGAGAGCACTGTCTGGCAAGCAAAGGAGGGAGGGAGAGAGAGGGAGGGAAGATAAAGACAGGACTGCATGACTTTCCACTGTTCCATGTTCAATCCCAATCCCCAAAATGGGCTCCGAGGCTCTAAACCGGCCGGAATTTCCGGAATTTCGATGCGGACAAATAATATTTATTTGCACACGAGGCGAATGTGGAAGCCTCTTTCTCTCGTTTCCCTCCTTGTCCAACCGTACGCACCAACTCAAACACCGCCGTCGTGCCTGGCTTGATTCTTCTGAAATCTCCGTAAGGGAACTTTTTTAGCCAAACCCAGTCCCCCTGCAAGAGAGGAGCACAAGGGAGGGGGGTTCGCACCAGCGAGGCAACATAATCATGTTTACAGTCACCTCCCCCACCTCCCTCTCCTCCCCGGCTCCGAGTCAGGCTCTGTCAAGCACTCCAGGACGCTAACCTGGGCGAAGGGCGCGACACAAATGCAAATTGTTGTTGTTCTGAAGTTACGTTTTTGACCATTTTTAATGATTCAACAGCAAGAGCGAGAAAGAGAGCGAGAATACATTTTTGGGGGAAAATCTCTTTGAAGGAAAACAAACAAGACGATGGGCACGTGAGATCCAGGTAACGGCTACTACATCAACAACGAAGTATAATAATAATAAATGTGATATAATATTCCCTGCGTTTGATATAGCGCTTTTCACATCTTCGAGACGTCTCAAAGCGCTTCACAGAATAGACTGTAAAGTGAATTGACTGTATACTTGTGGGCGAAATGCGGCAGCCATTTGCGCTCAGCTGCGTCCCCCACACAGTTGTGGATTGAGTGACCAAATTATTTTTTTAAGGGATTATTACCCGCAAAGCGATCCGCCAATCGACTGGGTTCCTATTTTCGTGTGTGTGGAGTAAGAAAACTTGCCAAAGGTTTCGCCGGCCTGGGAATCGAACCCGAGTCCTCCGGCTTGCGAGGCGAGAGGGCTAACCACTACCCTACGGTACTCCACAATAACAAACCTCGGCCCCCTCCTCACCTCGTAAATCGCTACATTGGAGTTCTCGTAAGTGGCGGGGGTCAAGCTTTTCAGTGACGACGATAGCGCGGCAGACTTCGCGCTCCTGGCCTCAGAGAAGCTCATTCTCCCGTCACCGATCCGACTGTCTTCGAAGCTGAGTTTCTTTCCAACAAAACAAAAGCAACGTAAGAATTGCAATGTAAGCACTCCCCACCGTGCTCCCTCCCTCCCCTCACCTCCCCCCGCACTGTGTTATAACAGAGCACGTTACAATGGGGTTCCACTAGACTACTGCTAATAACACAGTGCTCCGAGACACTGCCCCATGTAGAAGGCACTATAGACATCCCAGCTGTTGCGAGCCACAGGTCACATCACAAACCTTTTTGCTGAGTTGAGGGTTTATGAATGTCACATCGTCCATGGTCAGTAGGATCTTGTTCGGGCCTCTGACCAATCGCAGTTGAATTACTCGGCGCCTGGAAATGAAACGAGCCCATCAGGAATGAGACGGTGCAAGAATAGAGAGAGCAAGATAGAGACAGAGAGAGAGAGACATACAGAGGGAGAGAGATATACGGAGGGAGAGAGAGATACAGAGAGAGAGAGACAGCGAGAGAAATAATTAGGAGCAAAAAAAATCACAGGTGAAAGTCGTCCAGTTTTCTATTATTTCGTCTGAAATACCAAACTTTGTGATTTGGTGGGCAGAGATAATAACACTGTAATGTTTGCGCAAGTAACTGGTATTGAGTGTAGTGACTGTGTGTTTTTGTAGGCGAACACCAATTTGAGCGCAAACAGCCGTGACCAATTTTATCTGGAGGAGCATCAGACAAGACACTGGGAGAAACATGCCATGGGATGTTAAAGAACAGGCCACAGACCCACCTCGGTTTAATGTCTCACCCAAAGGACGGCACCTCTGGCAATGCAGGGCTGCCCCCTCCTCCCCACCAGCACTGCACTGGAGCGCAAACCTGGCCTGCGAGTTCAAAGTCCTGACACAGTGTTTGAGACTCAGAGGTGAGAGCTTACTTCTTCGGGCTTTAGACCCGAAAGATGTAACGCGAAGAGATCTTTGCCGAGAGGGGTTTTACCTTATGAAATAAGCGAGCACTATGCTGATGAGGGCACCAAGTACGATCCCGAGAGACACAGCTAAAACCATCAGTGGATCAACTCCTGCAAGAGTAGGAGGTGACATAAATAGTTAAGCACAAAGAACGGTGCAAAAGAAACAACAAATAGAGGGGAGCATTTTATAAAGCGGTAATTAAATGCTTTGGAAATTAATGGACAGTTATTTATTGTAGACAGCGGAAATACTAATAATAGTGCATTTATTATAGTGCCTTCTTACGTCGTTGAGACATCCAAAAGCGATTCACTTAATATAGTGTAAAGTGAATTGACTGTGTATTTTGTGGACGAAAAGTGGCAGCCAATTGTGCACAGCAGCGTCCCACAAACGGTTTGGGCTGAGTGACCAATTGAGTGAGGCATTATTTTTTATTATTTTGAGGCATTATTAACCCCCCGGAAAGCGATCCGCCAATCAACTAACAACCGGGTTCCTACTCACTGCAACGCAAACAGGCGTGTGTGTGTGTGTGTGTGTGGAGTAAGGAAACCTGCCTAAGGTTTCACTCTGCCCGGGAATCGAACTCGGGTCCTCTTGCGAGCGCTCTGACCACTAACGCTATGGGGACTCCGCGAATAAATGAAACTTAACAAAAGGTGGGACGCGGCGCGAGCCACTTTACCTCCGTTGCAGATCCTCCCGCGGTTAAACCAGCAGGCGGGGTCTGACCGGGGTGCGTCTCCGTTGGGGTAATGGATGGCTCTGCCCGTGAACCGCATCAGGTCAGCCCCCAGGTCCAGGACGTGGCTGCAGTGCAGCTCGTTCCCGTTGCCGTCCATGTCCAGGATGACGTAATCGCTGTGCACGAGCCCCTGCCTGTCCGTCCAGATGCGCTGGTTGAAGCCGTTAAACTCCACATTTCTGGAGTACTTGGCGATGTTGGCGCCCGAGCTCCAGGCTCTGTGTTTCCTGTTGTTATCCAGAGCTTTGGCAACTAAATAGACTGCGTTGTAGATCGTCCCAAACAGCGGTGACACCTGTTAGAAAAAAATTACCACACGGTCACTCTGGTGATGGCGAGAGTCACCGGGCACTAGCTGCCATTCCAGTACTTAATTACACAAGTCACAAGAGAGTGGTTATCATAATAATAATAATCCTTACATTTGATGCTGCAGCTTTCACGTCAGGAGGACGTATAAAAGCGCTTCACAAGATTTTGTATTAAGTATAGTGACTGTGTATTTTTGTTGCCGAACTCGGCAGCCAATCTGCGCACAGCAATGGAGTGAAAGACAGATTTTATTTGGGGGATTGGCGGCCAGGACACCGGGAGAGAGAAAATCCCTTCTGTTTTCAAATAGCACCGCAGGATCTTTAATGTCACAGACGGGACCTCGGTTTAACATCTCATTCACAGTGACAGTACCTCCAACAACACTATGCTCCCTCCAGCACCGCATTGGCTCCTAGACTGTGAGCTCAAAGTCCCAAGTGGGGGTTCAATGTGATTTGGCCCATTGGATCTCACTTTTCCAGGATATCCACCCAACTCTCCTCCCATTACAGCAGCAAGCTGCTTCTCAAATGAGTCCAAGCATCGTAACTTCAACTACCCACTTCCCCACTCTTTTCCCATCGCCCTACAATTTTTTTCTTTGCAAGTATATATCCAATTCCCTTTTGAAAGTGTTCCCCTCTGGTTCCTTTGCCAGTTCTCAGGTCAAGACTCGGTTCAGGAATTATTTTGTCTACGGCAAAACGGGCTCAGAGGCCAAGACCTGCAGAATGTTCAGGCGTCTGGAGAGGGAGGAAGAAACGCAAGCGATTGGGGAAAAGGGTACCTGCTCGGGTTTTATTGATGTTTCAAGTTCTCGCCTTCGCACGCTCTCCTGCAATGCCTGGCGGAAGGACAGCTGCTTGGAATCCATGGTGATGGTCAGCACTGCATCGTAAGCCTTCTGTAGCTTGGAGTTGTTGACGAGCACGGGGTAAGGGGTGTTCTTGTAGGGGAGGCTGTAGAGCAGAGCATCATAGGGCACAAACACGATGCCTCCTTCTGTCATCTGTAGGTCATGGGCGGCCTCCAGCAGCTGTCCCTGCTCCTCGCCTCCGATCAGCACCGAGTGCATGCACATGATTATTACTGGCAAAACAGAGGCCGAGAAAGTCATGTTAGCAAACCCGGCGGAGGAGACGTCATTACAACAACTGGTATTTATATAGCGCCCTTCACACAGCATTGCGTCTCAGTGAGCTACACAGCAGCCGAGCAAGGGAGGAGGAGGTGGTAGTGGAAAGACATCTTGGAGTTAACTTTGCGGGAATTCTAAATGGATTTCAGAGGGATGGGTTGGGGGTTAGGGAGAAATGAGGGGGTGTTTTTCAACGACTGAACATTAACTGAATTGCGGGATGTTGACCCCAGAGCAGGATGGATGGGGTGGGAGGTTGTGGGGGGGTGGGAGGGCCGTAAGGGTTTAAAATTAAACAAAAAACTAGAGACTTTGGAATACATCTGATCACAGGGGTTACAGATTCCTTACACGCGTACGAAAAGGGAACGTTTTCAATCAGAACCAAAAGAGTCATACGTACTGCGAAGTTTGTCAACTTCCCTTATTTTCCTCAGAGCTTGCCTGACAGTCTTGGGCTCCCTGCCCATCGACAGCACGGCTCCCACAGGCAGGCCCTGGCTCCTGAGGGCAGCGGCCAGCTTGCCGGCCGTGTCTACCCAAATGTCCTGGTCGGAGGAGATGATGGCGACGTGGGCCCATCGGAAGTACTTCATCACACTGAGGAGCACTCTTGTGGGCGAGGGCAAGGTCCTCACGAAGGTGGGGTGACTGGAGGTATCATCCAGCTCGTGGTTTACACAAGCCCACGAGAAGATGACCCTGTCCCAGTTCTTGCCCAGAAAGGAAGCGGCGTCGCAGTAGCCTGAGTTTGTAGGGCCGACAAACCCAGTAGCAAGTTCTGAAAAGCGAAGGAAAGCAGACAAAGCCTTGGAGGTTTGGCAGTCTTCATTCAGTATCACATAATCGAAGCGAGTGCCAAGGTCCAGAGAGGAGTCCTTTCTGATCCGATCAACGGCAAGCTGAGCGGCAGCCTTCGGGAGAGCTTTGGCAAAAAGAGGGTCACACGCCCAAGGTCCGACCACCCCGAGCTTGTATGTTCTACAATGTACAGAGCGAGGAAGAGTCAACACTGCCAGCAGCACCCAATACAGCAGGAAAGACGATAGTGTGCAAGGGGACAATCGCTGGTCTTTGGGGTCATTCCATCGTGGATGGTTTGATAATTTCAATACAAAGCTATGGAAATGAGAGGAATGGAGGAGCATTGCAATCCTTCGGCAGTCCGGGTCAGTAGGAACGATGCATTTAAAACTCAATCCAAACTCTTGCAGAAAGAATTGAGGTAGATCCCTGCATATGACAGACAGACGGACAGACAGACAGAGACACGGATAGACAGACATTACTTCCACAAATATCTAAAGGCACATCTTTATTCTTCCCAGCTGGCTAAAGCTGAATATCCCCCCCCCCCCACACCACCCCCACACACCCTGGAGTCTTGGCTGAGCACCACCGTCATTTTCATAAAATTTGTTTCTGTACAGTTAATGTTTTAACTTCATTCTTGTTTAACGCAATTAAAATAATAATCTTTGCATTTGATACAGTGCCTTTCATGTCGGGAGGGCATATGAATCTGGAGCTCAAGATATACACTAAAGTGTAGTGACTGTGTAGTTTGAAGGCATCAAAATCATACAGGCAAACACCAAATAAGAAAACGTTTCACATTTTATCCTAATGATTTATTAAATGGGGTTAGAATATTTGCGCTTAATCATTCTTACAGAACCCCCCTTATTTTATAAAACTAAACACACGAGGCTATGGGGTAGAGGAGCAATTATTGAGACCAACAGAACGTTGGAGGTTTGTTCACGTGAGGCGAACTCTCAACTTTGTTACAGTTTGAATTAGTTCACAATCGATGATTGCTTCACAGCTATCACTTTTCTAATCACTGACACAGAACTGTAATCGCATTAAACCCAGCTAGCTCTCTGTAAGTATGTCAACAGTATCATTTGACCCAGGAGAACAATCTAAACCAAGTTCTCTGTCGCGATCTGACTGTTGGCTTTTTAACTGATCTTTATGTGAGTGTAGATTTCGTACTCACTGTTTTGATTTTAAAAAGGCTGACGAAACGAGGGGCTTTACTTTCGCTGCATTCTCACTTGAACCAACACGGCCTAAGACATTGAAGGCTGATCTGACTAAATCCTATCACACAAGCCCGCTAAGCACTTTCACCAGGCAGTGTTACTAAGGCACATTCCTGATGCTCGTCTCTCCCTCTATGCCCAGTGTAGTTGGTCGGATCAAAAATAAGTTCATCTTAAAGGTATTTTTCAACGACTTTTGTGCAGGGCAGTTACCAACTCTGAGATTTCAGCACTTCGGACAGTTCCCTCTCCCCCACAATGTAGTTTATAGATGCTTACGAGAACGAGGGGATGGGTAAATCCTTTCAAGTGACGTATAATTTCCAACGACCTACACAGCCTGACCTGCGGATTTATTCTGAAATTTTCTGTCCACGTCAAATCCCTGCATTGGCGGAGGTGGGGGCAGGAAGGAGGAGAGCGCTATCGAATTTTATATAATCCATAATATGAAAAAATAGGTTTACAAAATGAACTCTCAATGGCAAAACGTTTTTTTTGGGTGGGTGAGGCGCAAAAAAGAGTTTCTACATTGTATGCACATCAAATGTTGAGAGTTTTACAGAATGATGCAAATATCTGCCTGTTCCAGTGGACATTAAAGATCCAGCAGATTTTTTTCTTTCTTGGTGACCCCCACCCACCCCCGGCAGTAAAAAAAAATGACCATTCACTTCATGACTGATGACGGTTTGCGAAATTGTCTGCCTCGTTCACCTACAAAATATACAGCCACTACATGTTACAGTAAAATCCTGTGAAGCGCTTTGAGAGATGTTTCGACGATGTGATAAGGCACTATGTCAGATGCAAGCATTATTATAAAGTTTGTACCTTTCTTCCAGACATCCACAGGCCAACGTGAGATGGTTTGGGTTGTGCTTCCCAGCTGGAGACAGCAGAGTCCAGGTGTTGAGTACCAGTAAAGTAGCATTGAGAATCAGCTGGAGATACTTTAGTAAATCCCATTTAACATGTAATCCAGGCACATCTTGCAACGATCGAACATAATTTTGATCTTTAGAAATTATAACTATATAACTACAAGCGGAGAATGGACTCTTGAGAGCACTGGTGGGCTTTGCCTTGTGTATTATTGAATGGACTGGCCCGATTCCCAGCCAAATCAGGCCAGCACTGCGCATGTGTATCCCAGAAGTCTTCACAATTGGTTCTATTTATATCGTTTATTTAAACGTTAATCTGGTGAAGAATTGGATAAAGCTATCAAGGTAATTCGCATTGGTTTTATGATAGGAATTTAGCACGGACATGGTGCCTCATTGAACTTTCAGAGAAAAGATATTCCAGTAACTAGGTGGTGGTGTGGAGTCACCAATGTAAAATATCTGACTATCCTCCTTTGTGGAGGAGGTAAGCAAGGTCCTCTTGGAGCTGAACTGGCTTCAACGTCAACGTTACGTGTTTGGCAACTGAATGTCGCAATCGTGCCAACTCTGTGGTGATCTTGGTCAGCGTGTTCCTGAGCCTGGCGGGTCTGCGGTATCCCAGGGCACCGCTGATGACAACCCAGCCCAGCTCACCTTCAGGACTTGGAATGGCAGACCAGTCACTGAGGGCATGGACCTTTATAATAATAATAATAATAATCCTTGCATTCGATATAGCGCTTTTCACGTCAGGAGGACGTCCCAAAGCGCTTCACAGAACACACTGTAAAGTGAATTGACTGTATATTTGTGGGCGAACGCGGCAGCCAATTGCGCACAGCAATGTCCCACAAACAGTCGTAGATTGAAAATGACCAATTTATTATTGTTTTGGTTTTGGAGGGATTATTATTAGGCTCTGTGTGGAGTAAGGAAACTTGCCCAAGGTTTCACCCTCTGCCTGGAATTGACCTCAGGTCTCTCACTTGCAAAGCGAGTGCTCTAACCACTGAGCTACAGGACTCCACAGGACTTTCCCATTCAGCCCCCATTAGCCCTGCAAGCTAAAGCCCTGATGCTTGCCGGACAATGCTTTTGATGGCTAGTTTTGTGTTTTCCAGCCGGTTAAATTCCAGCAGTATCTTAACACCGTGGGGGGGTGGGGGGGGTCCCTGAGCCTTGACTCTTGCCATCCTGCGCTTAACAATAATAATCCTCGCACTTGATACAGCGCCTTATCGTGTTGTTGAGACGTCTCAAAGCGCTACCACAGGATATTGCTGTAAAGTGGAGTGACTGTGTCTCTCGTCGGCAAAACGCTCTACGTTCGCCTAGAAAACAGACAGTCACTACGCGCTTGACAACAAGAGAGAAAAAAAAAGTTGTCGGAGGCCGTCCGGGTCCGGGGTGGGGAACCGAGGAAAAAACAAATACAGAGAGAAAAGTATCTGCACGTGTTTTCCTAAAAGAAAAACTCCCCCATCTACCCCCCCCCCACACACCCCATCCCCCACACCCCCCCCACCCCATCCCCTCCCCCCCCCCCCACACCCCCCCCCCCACCACCCCCCACACACCCCCCACCCCCCCCCCACCCCCCCACACACCCCCCACACCCCACACCCCCCATCCCCCACCACCAAAAATAAGGTCAATTGGACAAGTGCGGTCAGTGTCACGTGCACAGGGCGGAACCAAAGTGTTCGGGTCGGAGCCGGAGGGGAAGAGGGGGGCGGGGGGGAACGTTTAGGCTGGTGCTCCAGCCGGAAGCGGAAGTCGGCAGCGGAGGCGCGCGGGAGGCGAGAAAAACACAGAGACCCGTAAACCCCCGAGAAACAAACACAACAAACAAACACAAAAATAAATACATACATACACACACGGCATCAAAGTTACTCACAGACCCGGACCCCGGACACCGGGAGAGTTGATCAGCTCCTCAGGGACAGGGCGGCCGGCGGCGAACTGGCGTCGGGCGGCGGCCCCCTGACCGGGGCTTTGGTGAGACTTTTATTGACCATCGATAATCTGATAGCGATCATTTAAAAGCCCCGCGACCGTACCCCCACTGTACCCTCTCATCTCGGCTCCCGCGGAAGGCCATTTATAATCAATGTCGTAGAACATAGTCATACAAGAACAGAGGTGATTAATGATCTACTCTAACACACACTGTAGATCAGGAGGTAATCAATAATCTAATCTAACACACACTATAGATCAGGAGGTAATCAATAATCTAATATAACACACACTATAGATCAGGAGGTAATCAATATAATATAACACACACTATAGATCAGGAGGTAATCAATATAATATAACACACACTATAGATCAGGAGGTAATCAATATAATATAACACACACTATAGATCAGGAGGTAATCAATAATCTAATCTAACACACACTATAGATCAGGAGGTAATCAATATAATATAACACACACTATAGATCAGGAGGTAATCAATAATCTAATATAACACACACTATAGATCAGGAGGTAATCAATATAATATAACACACACTATAGATCAGGAGGTAATCAATAATATAACACACACTATAGATCAGGAGGTAATCAATAATCTAATATAACACACACTATAGATCAGGAGGTAATCAATATAATATAACACACACTATAGATCAGGAGGTAATCAATAATCTAGTCTAACACTTTAGAATGGTAGATAATCTATCATCTCATCTAATGTATTGTGTAGAATGGGAAATCATATGTAATCCATCATCTAATCTAATATTTAAGGGGTGGAACATAATATGACAGAACGAGAGAGAAGTGCCCGTTGGCAGCTCCACTTGGGACCACGTTACACACAGTCGTGGATTGAGTGACCAACTGCCATACGTGTGATGAGGTTGTCACAGCTCATCAACCATAGGAGATTCCCACCCCTCCCCCAAAAAATATGCCCATGACGCTCCCCCCTGCAAGACTTTTCCGATGAGGTCTAAATCATGTCGCTACCTCGTCGCCGGACAGACAGACACAGAGACAGACATTTCGTCTTTATTAGCATAGATGGAAGATGATCTAATAGCATATGGTATAGAATGGAAGCTAATATGAAATAAGATATATAATACATATAATCAATACTATAACTAATATATACAATGTGTAATATATAGTATATAGTAGTATAATTATAGTATATTATATATTTGTAATGTGCATAACAATGTATAGTGTCGTGTAATACAATCCAGAATATGTAACATATACTGTATAATATAATGCAATAATATATCTACAGTGTAATCTAATGCAATATATGTTATACAATGCAATCCATAGTATATACAGTGTACAATCTCTAATGCAAGATATGGAATGTACAATATAAAATATTATGTTATCGTTATATCTTATTCATATTTTATGCTGTACTTTGGATTTGCAGGACTTCAAAACCCACGCAGACCAGGCCTGCAGGGCAGCCGAAGAGTTTGTGAACATTTATTATGACACGATAGACAAGAGGAGGCGAGTAAGTACTCCCCACTCTTCTCTCTCCCCCCACCCCCTCCACTAACAATTCTCTGCCGCTAACCATCACTTGCTCCCCTCGTCAGCCTGATTTAAACTCTGGCTCATCCACATATCCTTTCCCGTTCAAGGCTTCGCACCCCATTCTTGCCCGGCTGCAGATCCCAGCAGATGGACTTCAAGAGCCTCCTCCTCAGTGTGGGGGAAGAGAGGAGGTCGATGAGTCCATCTGGCTGATGAAAGTGTCTTTAAAATCCATCCGTTTAATTTCCGAGGATGTTGGTGAACGAGAATCTGGTCAGTGATGCACGGAGTCAAGTTACTACATGTAACTAAGCTGCAGAGTGTGGTCATTATCGATTTTTCTGTGTTTTTATATTGTTCGCTGAATTAATTTGTTTTGTCAGGTGCTCACCAAATTGTACTTGGACACAGCCAACCTAGTGTGGAACGGCAATGCCGTGTCCGGCAACCGAGCCCTCGCCGATTTCTTCGAGATGCTGCCATCCAGCGATTTCCAAGTGAACATGTTGGATTGCCAGCCGGTCCACGGTACGTTTTGGACACCCTCACTCCGGGGGTGGGGGGGGTGGTGGGAGGGATGAATAATGTGACCTGTGATGTGCTAATCAATATGTCGTTGGAAAATCCAACCGTGTCGTTGACTGAGGAGACTGGTGTGCTTTCCTCTCCACAATAGTTGGACCTGACACTTGCTCGCACGGTGTAGCATTACGCTGCCGGTTTGCGGGATAATGGTTTGACTCAGTGGGTGAAATGTCAGTGGCGTGAGTGCTCATCTTGAAAATAATAATAATAATTTGGTCACTCAATCCACGACTGCTTGTGGGACGTCACTGTGTGCAATTGGCTGCCGCGTTTTGCCCACAAAATAGTCGATTCGTTTTACAACGTTCTAGTTAGAACCTTGAGACGTCTCAACAACACGATAAGGCGCTGTATGAAATGCAACGATTATTATTATGTTACTACAAAATTAAGTTATGCGTGTGTAAATACACAGGGGTGTTAAAGGAAAAAAAAACTGCAAATGGCTCATTAAATCACTTACCTTCTTTGGCAGAGCAAGCTACTCAAGGGCAGACGACTGTGCTTGTGGTCACGTGCGGGACAGTGAAGTTCGATGGGAACCAGCAGCGCTACTTCAACCAGAATTTCCTGCTGACGGCGCAGGTCACGCCTCAGAACACGGTGTGGAAAATAGCCAGCGATTGCTTCCGCTTCCAGGACTGGCCCAGTTAATCTTTCATCCGAAACCAAGGTTGGGGAACAAAATCAGTGCTGTATCAGATTTGATTGACTCTGCCAGAAATAAATTGCGAATCAAAGACGGGGAAGGATAAAGAACGTCGGGTTTATTGTGACCGACCGGAAAGTCTGTCTTGAGAAGATTGAAAATAGGAAAGGGAAGAGAGGAGGAAAAACCTGCTCCATTGAACAGCATTTTACCATCACATGTAAAACTGGTATCCAGTGTCCATTCAGCATATAAATACATGAGCCAAAGCACAACCTGTGTTATCAGCCTCCAGAGAAGCCTGTAAAGTTTTTATTGTGATATCAATAAACTGATTTACTACAGACAAATCATTTCAATCCCATTCTTGTGTGCTACTTTACAAACGTCAAGGTTGTGTTTTGCTGTCACATAGCCCACTGTCGCAGACGAGACACAAACATACAGCGGGGACACTTGGATAAGGCCTTTTTCAGGATGATGAGGGAGGTGGAAATAAGCTTTGAAAAGATTTTTGCCCCAAATGGAGAGGGAGGGTGATAAAATGAGGACGAGCCTCAACCTTCCCCCACAGATACATTTTCATTTTGTTTCTAAAAAGACCCTTGTTTTTCTGCCTCAGTTACTCTTGCTTCTTGGGTTGAATTAAATTTGATTTAAATCCCTTTTAAGTGAAAATGTACCATACTGTCCATTTAAGAGCAGCAGGTAGCATCTGACAGCTTGTTACATGTCTGCAGCTTTAATATACAACAGACTGCTTACGGTCACAGCTCACACTGTTCCTGACCATATAGTGCCTCAAGTCAAAATGCCTCATGGATCTTTTACGCTCACGTAACGAAAACACAGCAGCTGCTTTGTACACAGCAAGGTCCCAGCAGCAGTCATGAACAGTGATGGGTTTCCACATGTGTCAGATATCCAGTGACCCCAAAAAACCTGAAGTGTAGGGTCATCGATTTAGGATCTCTTCTGAAGGACAGCACTTCGGCTGATGCAGTTATCCCTCATCACTCGATTGGAGTGCCAGCTTAGACGATGCAGTCTAAGCCTGGTTATGTTTAGGAATATTTAAGCAGCGTGCTTATACAACAAATTGATGCTGGTTTGGCTCGAGGTTGGAGTGACACACTTGAAAGAGGAGCTCAACACGAGTTTGCTTGACAACCCTACAAATCTCACTGCAAGCTGGCAGCTGTCCAGCCTGTTCAGACCCTCAGCTATTTCTGCGCAGACTTTCACAACACTGAAAGCAGTTTCACAACAGGTGCTGACACAGAAACAGAATTGGGATAAAAGAGGGAGGCAGAATCAAGTAACAAACGCCAACAGCTGCAGGGAGCACAATCCCAGTGCCTGCCAAGGTGACCTCACTGGGGAGAGGGGCAATTTAACAAAATAAACCGGACAGGCACACACAGAGAAAAGGAACTAAAGGGGAAAAGCAGCAAATTGGGATGAGGAACTGCCGAGGAGCAAACGCCAACGTGAAAAATTGGCATCATCCCGTACGATACGTTTCTCGTACAGAATATAGTCAATTCACTTTACGGTACATTCCGTGCGGCGCTTTGAGACATCTCGAAGACATGATATAAAGAGCCTGCCGTGAAAGAGGCGCTATATAAAATGCAAGGATTATTATAGTATTTCTAAGGCTAGAAACTGGACCAACTCCAAAAAAAAATTCGACTACCCTTTCTGGTCAAAAAAAACGCTTCCTGCTTTGAGTCGTAACTTGCCTCGCTGTGCTTTTAAGATGACGCCCCTCCTGTTCTGCATTCCCCCCCCCCGTCACCTCCGCGCACACATCTTAGAAACAAAACAAATTCAGGAGTTTATTTTTGGCTTCCGCAGATAATTATTATTTTTTTTTAAACAATCGATCAACTTTCACCAAACTCCTTCCCCCGCTAAAAAAACTGAAAAAAAAGGTGAGAATTGGTTTTTTTTAAAAAAAAAACTGCTATCCCTAACTATAACCCGCACCGATCAAGGTTAAACATTTCCCTTATGTTTCCCGTATCAGGTCCCTACCAGCTCTCACATCAGATCTCCAAACATGATCAGAAATGCAGTTTTAAATGAAGGGAAAAACACACTTTAAAAACCAATGTTAAAACCAATATTCTATTAAAACCAACATTCTACATATTCCCGTAATAGAATAATACATATTCTAATGTTCTAGTAACATTTTGCCTTTGCCCAGAACATTTCATTTAAGCAATTCGCGCATTTGTAAATAAAAGTTTCCTTCAGCAAGTTTGAGTTGGTGAAGGTTTGACAAGGAAGCCCAATTTCTTATCGGACCAAAATCAAACTAAATTCTTGTTCTCATTGACCCTCTTGCCTGAGCCTCGCACCTTCTTAAAGTAGATGTGATAAGGATCTTCCCCAGAGTGCCTGTCCCGAGAGCGGGTGTAAGCCAAGATCAAGCCTCCAGCCAGGAAGGCATAAAAGATCATGATAAGAAGGATGTAGAGGTAGGCGTCCTTGTTGGAGTCTTTGTCGGGAGATCGTTTGGTGGAAGTGCGATTTGCTGAGGGTAACTTCATCGCCAATTCTCGCAAAATCGTCTCCAGTCGGTCGTAAGCCGAACAATTCATGGCGTTGCAACTTTTGCAAAGTGTGGAGCCGCACACTCACTTCCCGAGTGAGCCTTAATGAATCTTTTTTTTCTAAAATGAATCTGCGTTAACTTTCTCTTCATACGGCGCTTCTGGCATCCAAACAGGCTCCTCTGATCTTTATCTGCCCAGCAAATTGCAGGCGACCAGGCCTCTGCTTTGCAACAGCCTCAAGAGCAGACAAGACACAGAACACAGCTGTCAGTCTAATACGTTGCAGTGCCTCCTCTCCTAAACTGATGGCTCCTCTTTAAGGCGGGTATTAAACATGCAAACATCCTAGAGCGATTACAGCAGCAGCTCTGTCAACTGCAGGGACTGCTTTTGTCGGCAAGCTGGCAGCCAATTTGCACACAAGGTTCCACAAACAGCCAGGAGATGATAGATCAGTTTATCAGGAGGATTGTTGGCCAGGACACCCGGAGAAACTCCCTTTCTCTTTTCCAACAGTATTACAAGAACGTAGACCCTTGATTTTAATGTTTCATCCAAAGGATGGCACCCTCAACAATGCAGCACCCTTACCTTCTCCCCCCTCTCTCCACATTCCACACCCCCACCACCGGAATATCAGCTCAAACTATGATCTTAAAGCCCAACATTGGATTCAAAATCCTTTGAACTGGTTTAAAACCTCAAAAGTCAAGCAATGGGAGGCAGTCACTGCTCAGTTCAGCATTATTCAATTATCTCATAGCTCAGAAACCCCGAGAATCTCACTGGGCACTTGCCAAGGTTACCACGAGCACTCAAATCCCACTTGCGCTCTTATACAGTCCACAACCGGTAGCGCTCTACACTTCAGGTCACCCTAACAGATTGATTTGTGAAGAGCGCAGCATTTTAGCCAAGGTCAGTAACACCAATGGGAGGAATCACAGTCTTGTGAATGTGTAGCAAGGGGTTGAAGACAGAGCTATTATTGGTACTGCCCCATCACAGGAGTGCACCATTGCAGAATCGCTCACTCAGGAGAAAATAATTCTGGCATTTGATAACATATAATTTAAGAATTTCATAGGATTTACTGCTAAGTCATGTTTGAATATTTTGTAGGCGAGTGGAGCTACAAAATGCACCATTCACAGAAAACACACCAACTAAAAAACAAACAAGTCAGTGTACCAGAAGTTGGCTGAGCTGGTGAAGCTTTATTTAAATGCATCCCCACAAGATGGATCTGGTTTGCCTTTAGGTTCCACAGGAACATTCTACACATTTCTCTGCCAGAACGCAGTTTGGGGAAAAAAAAAAACAGAAAAATTGCAATCAGTTATCAAAACAATTTGATGTTTTACAATGAGAGATGCAGTGTTTGTTGGGCTTTCATTCTCTTTCCCCACTGGCTGGAATATCTGGTGAAGAGGGTACGGTTGTTGACTGGGTTGTTAACACCAACACTCGGACATTATTTTCATAACCTCTGAACCCGAGCTTCTAAGCCTGTGTTAACAACCCCAACCGAGTCTCCTTACCAACCGTGTCCTCCCAGCTGCCGGCTCCTGCCGAAGCGCTCTGAGAGGCCGTCCGGCGTGGAGGGCGCTATATAAATCCAAGTTGTTGTTGCCAGAATGTGAGCCGGCAGGAGGCTGCCTCTTGCACACTATCTGCTCCACCATCGCCATTTGAACCCCACTCTCTGGAGCTTTACCCCCTTCCAGTTGCGTCTAATACAGTAAATGTATTTCAGACCATTCACGGCAGCATTTGCTCACACACGTAAAACGGGTTCTCAGTATAAGCAGATTTATTTTTGAATATAAATTCTAAGGGCATTTAGGCAAGGCTTCAAAGAACCAGCTTTCAGAATGTTTCTGCCCAAATATATATTATATATAAAATGATACGATGGTCTATACAAGGACCCGACTCATTTCATAGCCAAGCTGCATTTGAAATTTACAATACAGATATTCCAATTTTAATCAACATAATAAACATTAACATCCAAATTTATACATCAGAAGTCATCTTTTTCAGCATTCCTAAAAAGGGGTTATTTATTTTTCACACACACCAACATGTCGAGACAATGCTTTTGGGATGCAATTCCTTATTAAACTAATATCTTTATTTTAAAAAATTATAATTATGCTAATCCTTGCATTTGGTGCAGCGCCTTTGACATCGGGAGGACGTCCCAAAGCGTTTCACAGGACTTACTGTGAAGTGGACTGACGGTTTATCTGTAGGCTAACGCAGCAGCCAATATGCACACAGCAATGTCACACAAACAGCCAAAGTTAAAAACAAGGTTTTCAAATATCCCCAACACCCAGAAAATACAAGCGTCTCACACACAATAAGAAATAGGCTTAAATACAATTTCAACTGATCTACCAAATTCACTTTAACGTACATTTCTCGAAAAGGACAAACAAAACGTATTTTAGAACCATTTCCAAGATCAGTCGATTCCTCAGTGGATACGACAGCTTATTTGCAAAAAATATATATATTTTGCGATGAAAATAAACATTTGAAGGTGAAGACTCGCAAGTCTGAAGATGGGAATGGAACTCCTCTGGACAGAATTGACTTTGTAGCGAGAACGACCACAGCATTGAACCCAACCCCCACCAAAAAAAACTTTACAATGGATGTTTGAGCAATTAAGATAATTCTCATCACCAGGACTGCAGAATAAATGTAAATCTCAGGGAAAATTGTAGAAACTAATTTACACGAGTTGGCGAGTCGATGACTAGACTAAGTTGTCAGACTAAATTTAAAATCATCATCAACAACAACAAAAAAACACTAAGGGAGAGGTAAGCCCTACCAAATACTGTGGTTGAAGCAGAATCCACAATTTCTATTAAAAGGGATTTGGAGAAATATTTTTAAACAAAATGATAAAGTGCGTGGGGTTTGGGTGGGGTGGGGGGAGAGAAAGAGCGTGAAGTGGGATTAAATAGATAGCTGGTACAGGTACGATGGGCTGAATGGCATCTTGCGGTGCTCTTAACGTTTTACGATATTGTATTGTACAGATGATAAAGGGGACACACATTCACAGTAGCTCAGGATAGCACTGGGCTACCATCAGATTATACTTCAAAGTTGAGGGGCCTAGCTGGATACCTGCCTTTACACTGTGGTGGTTCTCAATTAGATTTTATTATAAAATATTTTTTATATACAATTTGAGTTGTTGGGAAGGACGCAACATGTTCCCACCCACCACCCCCCCAATAAACATAGACCACCAGCGAGTTGTAACAAAGTGGTTTAAAAGGTTGAACACGATCGACAAGCTCAGGTGACATGGTTGAGAGAGGAAGAGAGAAGAAACTGAGGGATTGTGATTGCCAGGCCCCCAACCTGTACAAGAAGTACCTCGTACTTGGATTATGCTCCTCATTTTTGAAGGCAACCTACCACTTAGGTTATATAGTGACTGGCCTATTTATCCATTAAATTGCTTATTGTATTGTCAGCTCCTTATCACTAGCAGTTACCAAAACGCTTCATAGAATATATTGTAAAGTGGATTGACTATATTTTGTGGGCAAAATGCAACAGCCAATTGTGAATAGCAGTGTCCCACAAACAGTCGTCGATTGAGTGACCAAATTGTTATTTTTGGGCAGAAGGATTATTAACCCCAGAAAGCGATCCCCCAATCGACTAACAACCGGGTTCCTACTTACTGCTAGGTAAACAGAGGTGCGTGGAGTAAGAAAACTTGCCTAGGCTTCACCCTGCCGGGAAACCGAATCCAGGTCCTCTCGCTTGCGAAGTGAGTGCTCTAACCACTACACTACAGGATTCCACAGGGAGGGGAGGGTGAGCATGAGGAAATATTAAAGAGGTAGAGGAGGAGCCAACCATTCTGCTACTGAGGCACTGAGAAATTACACAGCCACCAAAAAAAAGGATAATTTATCCATATGGTATTTCCACTTTTAACTATTTCTTTTTAGCTGCTTTATTTAAAAATAAGATCCATCTGCAATCTTTATATTCAATAACCATAGCCTGTATGATACATAAAGAAACAAGTACCTACGTACTTCAAGGATTATTCTCAGCAAGTTTCTATACAAACCGATGGGATAGAATTGTTAGTGCAAACTTCACATCAAGGGCTGCCGCCACAGCTGATTGGCATTTGAATGGTAAAGGTGTGGGACCAAACTATTCTTTTTTTTAAAAAAACATTCAAGGACACAACACCGGTCAACCTTTAAGTTTGGTCCCCGCTAACTGGCAACTCGTGGACTTGGTACAATCAGCAGGCGGCTCCAAGAGACACAGATAAGAGAAACAAACCCAAACGAAGGTGGTATTTACTGTAAAAAAACACATGCATAAATAAAGACCTTCTGGCTGTTAGTAGAAAGTAACTGGGTGGTGCAAATATTGTTGGGCTTCTAGGTTGGGGGTAACCCACCCCCACCCCACACATGACCCTCACAGTTCAAGCAAGACTCAGCTGTGTTGAATGCAACCACTTGCTTTGGAGCAATAACCTTTTGGTTTGTTAGTTTTATTTATAAATGGGTCATTCGTTCATTCATTGTTCTTAGAAATTCAAAGATGCAATTGTTCCCATCAGGCACCAGAGAGGAGAAAACAAAAACCCACACACAACACATCCAGGGCTCCGTGCGGGCTCTACTTTCCTCCATACATCCGTTCAATGTCATTTAGATAGTGATTCTTTAGCTCTTTCCGCTTGAGTTTGAAGGCGTCTGTGACCAAACCAGTCTCTGGAGTCCACGGCTCTGGGCTCAAACGCACCTTCATGGGAACTTCGAACTTTTCTAATTTACCTGTTAGCACAGAATCACCAACATGCATCAAAAGGCTTTGTATTAGAATAAAAACACCCCCGCATCAACTACCACCAATTAAATATACTCAGCACCCCGGATTACACCCCACCCAGGTGGTCAGGCCTTCAGCTTCTCTGCCTCCACCCTTTGGAACTGTATCCCATAGTCCCTTTGCCTTAGTCCCTCCCTTTCCTCCTTCAAGGCACGTATCAAGGCCCTCCTCTTTGACAGTGCCTTCGGATACCCTCCTACCCCCACCGTCCCTGCCCTCCACCCCTTCTGATCCCAACCACCTGCTTGGGTCCAAATCCAACTGTCCAGGGTCCTGAGATGTCCTCCCAACGTGAAAGGCGCTGTGTAAATGTCATTTCTTGTTGCTGTTGTCACACGCCATTATAATTTAATGTTGAGCTCACACTTTGCAAATGCCCCATGGTCACAAATATCCATGAAGCGATTGACCAATTAATCTAGAGGATAGCTGGTTGGGACATGCGCAGATACAACGTCTCTTTTCAAATAGCGGCACAGGATCTTCAACATCCACCAAACGGGTGGAGAAGCCAATCGCGACTCTGAAACTACTCCATGATATAACCATGTGGTTCGGTCGCGCACTTACTGGATTGTGCGGCTTCTTTGATCTCTCGCAACACCTCGGCCTCCATCACTTTGTTGTTGCACAGTTCCTCCCACACCCCCTCAATCCCTTTCTGCTCGGCCAGGATCGTCAGTTTCTTTTGATTGGGGACCACAAAACTAATCACGTAGGACTGCTCGCTGTGAACAAAATGAATTGGGTTTCAATCTCAGTGGCCAAATGACATGAAGTTGGAAGTAAAAAAAAACAAACAGGTTTTAGTCTTAGCAAAACTCCAAACTGGCAAGGACGGAATGTATCATTAATCTGTTAATTAAGAGTTAAATATCCAGCTTCCTCAACGGCTCAGCAAGTTTATTGAGTGAGCAGCAGAGCATCACAGAACTGGAAGGTCCCATCCTCATCCCTCCCCCAATCCAGACGAGGTGTAGGAAGGCACCTACGGAACAGCGGATCGATCTTTCATGTGAGAATGGGGGGGAAGAAAGTTGGAGAAAGAAAAAAAAAGTTACACTTCCTTCATAACTAAGTTGAATCTTCAGAAGACACAAGGAGCCCTCAGTGAGATGGTGGGCGACCTTCAATGTACCTCTGAACCGGCCACAAGGAATATTAAGCATTCTCTTCTAGTCGTCTCAGACACCCCTTCAGACTCTAGGCCCACTGCTCTGCTGCTATAACTCACTGCGCCATTGAGGCTCACAAAAATACATGACCCCAATGCTCAGAACCACTTCATACAGATGGAAATGTCCAGCAAAGGAATGTAGCTGCTCTTGTTTAATAAACCCACTCTCAAATGCTGCGAAGCAAATGTCAACATAAGCAAGTTCTCCAGGTATTCTGGCACTGAATGATCAGCTGATGTAAGGCCACGTGGCAAGCTTCAAATACCAGGAGAGTCAACCTACCTTTCCCTTGTAGGTTTCTGTTAATGAAAACATGTACAATCAAAAGACAGAACTTGCCGAATGTAAGCAAACTGCACAAAGGCAGCTCAAGCATCGCACACGGTAGTGATTGCTGAACCCAATTTTGAATGCCTTCCAGCAGTGCAGCAATTGGGAATGGCTTTGCCTTTTATGCTTCCCTGCTCCAAGTCACTCTTGCCTTAGGCTTAGGTGTGCTCCTCCAACTGTATATAGTATGTAATTTTATCAGTGTCAGGTTAGATCTGCTGCTGAGTTAACGGACCGTTAGTGCGTGGCAAAGGAGTCTATAAATTGATCTATGTTATTGAGTGAAGGATGTAACCTGCACCTTTCCTGGATAACTTTAAAAACAGTCTCTTAAAATGTTCCTGGGCAGTCTTTTGGGCCATTTTAAGGAGTTCCCTTTGAGCAGAAGCTCTTTATATCATACCCATTGTGAAGAGATGTTTCCTGATATTTCTAACCAGCTTTGCTCTCCTTTAAGATTAACTTCTCTGAGCAGAGAAAGACAATGTGTCCCAATACAACTTACTAGCTTCCAGATTTATAAGAGATGTGAGCTTGACCTACCTGTTTGCGTACGCACAGATATTATCAATGAGAGAGCAGCTCTTTAAGGCTGATTCCACTTTGCCCAAAGACACATACTCCCCGGCCTGCAGCTTCACCAAGTCTTTCTTCCGATCTATATTGAAAAAAAACAATTCAAGAGTTAAACTTCCACAGAACTGCTTCAAACTGAAGAAACACTGCGCAGAGAATAATTCCTATCGGAGTGATTGCATGGCCAGGAAACTTAACAAGGCATTTTGATGAAGAGAGCCACGGTTGCGAATGTACAACCAATATCTGAACCCCATGTAACTATTCTTCACATGACGACATGTGCCGTCAGCCTATTCAAACCGTAGATGAGCCCCATCCATAAACACAATATTTATTTTTAGGTTTTAGCCTTAATAGATCTGAAGATTGTGCAGAAGTTGGGAAAACCAGCTTCAAAATGACTAACATTGGAACCATCTGGAAAATGTTACGGCTGAAACCAGCGCACACTTGCACTTTGCGGCAGGAGTCACTGAGATCGGGAGGGGAAACCTTGCCTGATTTCCAGCCCCTTCCCGCTGCAATGGTGGAACAGAGGGCAACAGCGAACTCAGCAGGACATTGGGCACAAACCCTTTCTGGTTTGTATGCCTCCGTTCATTTACTCTGTGCCGCACAACTAGAGATTGTGAAAGCAACTGAATTGCCTGCAACTGAAACAGCTGAAAGATGAGTTTGAATATGGCTTTGCCCCACCAACACCACGCACACACAGAGTCCTCTTTATATTGCAGCATTCCATCTACAGCTCCTCACCAATTATCTGCAAGCAGCCATCTGGATGGAATTCCCCCACGTCCCCAGTGCAGAACCACCTCTGACCAACGCTGTCCAGGAAAAAGTCATCGTTTGACTTATTCATCTTGAAGTATCCCATGGCGACATTTGGTCCTCCAACCAGAATCTCCCCTCTGGGGTTGGGATGGTCCTTGCAGGTATATCCGCCTGTGTAGAAAAGAGTACCAGACATTTAGACTTTTTAAAAATAAATAAATATTTTCCCCTCCTTTTTCTCAGCACTAAATTTGAACACCAATATTCTCGACTTTCTCTAGTTTCTCCTCTGCCAGGAAAGTAAAAAAGCAACATCACCACAAATAAGAGGACGATTCATTACTGGCGGGGTCAAGCGCTGCAGAAATGCACAACGCAAAGAAGTGTTGGCACCTTGCAGATAACAGGCAAATAGGTCACAGCTGCGCCAGTTTCACAAGAACCTTGAAGCGCACCACTGAACACGTCATTTCAGAAACCAGTGCAAGTTACCTGCATACTGAAAGATTCAACTTTTTTCCTGTCATTTATTCGGACTAAACTGGGACACTACTTTCTCAGGAGTACTACCAAGGGTAAGATGTTGCAATCTCACACCAAAAAAAGACAAACGTGTTTATTTTCCCCCTCCTTCTGGGGGCTCAGCTTCGTGGTCATACACGGCTCCCTGGACACCATTTGCCGGCTTCAAGGCAGCATGCATTCTTCATGTGTGACTCTAAGAAGGCTGAGTGACTGGGAGGGAAGTAGGAGGGAGCGCAGAAGAGAAGGAAATATTAAAGTGATCCAGCCCACCAGCAGGATCACTGAATAGCAATCAGTGCTGACCGAGCTGGGAAACAAACCTGCAAGCTTCTGGCCTGTGACTCTTAATCTCCTACACTGAAATGCATTTAGTCCAGTGTGAGTTTGGTCTTTGATCTGAATATCCCAGAAAATCTACTCTACTGCCTTCACATTACAGCATCAAGCTGAATCAATTAATCTTGTGCCCTGGCTTCCACTACCCTTCCTGGTAACCCATTTCTGATCTTCCTCCTAGGGTTCATCCTAAAATTCATAACCCTGAGCCCGTGCCCTCTTGTCTTGTCGCCTCGGTGTATCAAAATATTTCTCTGTAGACAGACCTTCTTCCCAGTCCCTCAGTTTGATTTCACAGCAGATAAGAGGTGCTCCGACTCTGCCTGTGCTGTAGTCCAAGACTGCAATAAACAGAAAGGGCATGTCATGTGGATCTTGGAAGAGTTTCAGAATCACAAGAAATAACATGACTACATTGGTGCCTTGAGCTATATACATTTGCAGCTAAAAATTGAACTAATAGTCTGCTAACCGGCATTCTTTACACATGTGCAAGTTTTCAAGCTCTAACTTGAACCGAGGCTCATCACTCTCTTAATATCACCTCATTCAATCACAGGTCAGCTTCCCAGCATTTCATTTCTTCTGCTCAAATTCCACAGCTACATTTATGAAGTAGATAAGAATTGAAGATCTATGAACTTCTCCCTCAAACAGAAATAAAACCGATATCTTTTGTCGATCGAATGCTTGGGCTGCTCACCTTCAGTGATGCTGCCTGCACCACACGTTTCCGTCAGCCCATAGCCTTGACCCACTGGACAGCAGAAGCAAACATTCATGAACCTCTGAGTCTGTGGGGAAAGAGGTGCTCCGCCGGACAGCATCATCCGAACGTTCCCTCCTAACAAGGCTTTCACCTTTTTAAATAGTAACCTAGAAGAAAGGAAACCTTGGGTTACTTTCCTTAATGGTCAATCCCAACACCCATGAATCCATATCACCAAACCCATCCCTCAATAGTGCCCAACGCTCATCTGCAAAGATTTTATTATTTTGCCTACAAAGTGATCTGAACATAGTTTCCTAAAGCTTTGTAACAACTGTATTTGTTATTGCGGTTTCACTGTGAGAAGTATTCAGCCCTGGCCTGTCTGCACCAGAGCCCTGGCCTGTCTGCACCAAGCTCAGATCCCCATTCATAAAACAAGACAGACTTGTCTCTTTGAAACAAACATGAAGAGACTGCTTACTCGCCAGTGGGCAAAGTACGAATAGATAGCAGTGGCCATCCTGGTATAAGCACTCCAGCAACATCTCCCTTTATTGGGTACTAAAATGCACAGGTTTGAGACTTTGCAGTCATGAAGTCCCTCCACCCAACCAGCCATTTCCAACAGCAATCCTCAAACTATCCACCGGCTGATTTCAATTTTACTTTGCTATTGTTCAACAGGGAAGAATCCACACAACGTCAGGGATCATTCAACTCCCGTTTCCAGTCCTCCAAGCACCACACACTGACTACAGGAGACAGCTGCCACGAGGCCGTGCATTGAAGCAGCTCAGAGAGAAGCACCTACTCTCAATTCAGCGCCTCAGGTGTTGGAAGGTTGAGAAGAAGAAAACAAACCAAATGCATCTCAGCACTGCCATGGCAAAGTGCCAAGAGAACCTAAGTAGGGCAATTATATTTAGCCAATTAATGTCAAGCCAATTATTGGGAGGTAGCGCTTTAATGAAATCCCAGTGTTAATTGTTCAGTTTCCTTACAAGTTACACAGGGGTGCATCGTAGCCCCTCTTGATCTGATCCAATTTGTAGTCATAACCCAGCTTGAACAGTGTTCTCTGTACGTAGCTCATCTCCTGCACCTTGCTCATGACGTTCTTGTAGATTCGATCCATTATTTCCTCGAAAAAACAAAAAGCACGGACTCAAAAAAGGAGATATTTCAACAATAAAATGCCGCTGTACACCCCAAACGTGGCTATTACTGAAAATTGGATCAATCAGCTCCAATATACAGTAAACTTTCAGCTATTTATCTTTTCCCCAACAAACGGCTAAAGTAAGCCAGACAAGGTCAGGAACTTGAGATCACAAATAATTTCTAGGACCATCACCTATCAGCCAATTATTTTCCCCCTGAGAATTCTGGAAAAGAAAGCTTGATCAATGTAACACCACTTACAAGTCTTACACTGCTCAAGCAAAATACTACAATGGTGTTATTTTCCACTCGGAATCAGTGTTGGCCGACGAGATATTACTGTTAACAAAACGCTCCGAGGGTCGAAATGCCACATCTAGGACATCTGTTGAGTTTCTCGCAAAAGAAAACAAAGCGAGATCAACTTATTGCAGGTCACTTCTGCAGCAGGATTCTGTGGATGTCTTGTCAAAGGTTCCAGCTCTTCATGTTACCACAAAGGACTTTTGATTGTTTTGGGGCACAAAACGTTTGTGTGGTCACACACTATTGTGTTTTAATTGTGCGTCAGGGGTGAAACAGTGAGGATAAGAGGACACCAAAGAGTTTCACTTACTGGGACGGCTGCCATTAGAGTTGGCTTCAGGACGGAACAATCACCTTTACTGCCTTTTTTGATTTTCGTGGACTGTAAAAGAACAGAGAAAGAAATAAAAGCTCCAACAATGCTGTACACTTGATCAATACTGCATCATCAATATACAAACGTAGCATTCCATATACAGCCACGGAACTCATCCCCTTCTCCCCCACCCCCATCTTCGTATCAATGATCTCTCCTTATTTTCAACCTTTTGAATACACCAAGCAATCAGTTATATGCAAAAGTATGACGCAAATTTAAAGATGTACAAAATAGCCCATGGTGTTACGGTTGACAGTATTCTTGGTTGGTTGTACAGCCTGCTGCAGGAAAGCTATTACATCAAGCAGATCGCCACTGCTCACCTGATCAGACAGGGTTTGAGGGGACGAGTAACCAATTCGACAGCCATAAGCAACACAGGAGATTTCTGCTGTAAGTTCTAGGACGTGAGCTAGTGGAAGGTAGCCGATATACGTGTCCCTGGGGCTACATGTTAAAAAAAATACAATTCACAACATCAGCAAAATAACAAAGGACAGCTGCTTAAATATTATACCAAGATGAAGATTAATTTATATGTATTTAGCTCAGTGCAGATTTAGATTTGTACAGTAAAAGATACAATAATCAACATTCCTTTTCAAGTAGTGCAGAGACTTACACTCAGATGTTTATATATGGACAAAAATTAGGCAGAAAAATGACTAAAAAGAAAAATCATTAAACTACACTGAGTGTCTTAATTATTAGTGGCACATTGTTGGGGGGGGGGTAGGGAGCAAGGAGACAATGGTCCAATCACAATTGGATTGAAGCCTCACACAAACAAGGACCATTTTGGAGGGGGACTGAATGGATGACTGGCACCTGTAGAACTGCCCCCAATGGAAGAAAAATAAAGAGTCAAGAAGCTTCAGGAGAGGAGCTTAGAGCCAGACTCAAGTCAGACCGCCTCTTTGGGGGTCCATGGATAACGAGAGATAGTAATATATCGGAAGAGCGTTGTATTCAGTGCTCGCAGATGACCACTTACCCCAGCCAAGGTATCCTCTGACACTGGCCCGTCATGCCAGCTATTAAATTACTGTGATTGATCATCACTCCCTTCGGGTGACCTGTGGAGCCGCTGGTATACATCACCACTGCCAAGTCAGTCGGGGTGGGACTGTTTAAATGAGCATTCACTGCACAGAGAAAACAAGAATAACTGCGGAGTAATAACTACTAAAAAAACAATTTTTGCAGCTGGCTAGATTTCATTATTTTTATTATTAATATTATTATCTGGTTTCTAGCACTTGATTCAAGTGTTCAATGGCTCCAATTTTCTTGTATGCAGACATCTGCACAGCAGATGTAATGTTATACCCTAGCTGAAACAGCTGGAGTAGCAAGGGAGGTCAGTGGTTATTTCCACTCTCAGCAGGCGTCATTCAAGAATAAACAAAGGGGGGGGGGGGGGGAAGAGAAACACAAATCTCAAGTAGAAGTGTCCATAATGAGTTTTGAGTTGTGCTGTAACGATGGATAGGATGAAGGTGGAATCATACGTACAGTTCTCCGGCTTGCTCCCCAGCTCCTCCACACACGTCATGCTGTGGATCCGAAGCTTCTCTGGGTAACCAGAGGTACTGATTGTCTTCTTGTCCACATAGATGAGGTATTTCAACTTGTTGATTTTGGGTAGTACATTCTGCGGCCAAAGGCATTAAAGTCAACAAAGGGGAAACAGTACACTTGCAACACAAAATGGGGACCATTCAGCCTATCCCATCTGTGCCATTGTTACATGAATATCACCATTATTAATACCACTTTCCATACATTTTCCCATGTTCTCCAATGCTGGGTTTTTAAAAACTTTACCTTTAACTTTGTATCGATGAGATCCACACTGGTGATGAGGTGGGTTACCTCAGATTCATTGAGACCGTAAGCTACAGAATCCTCTCCAAGGGTAGCGTAAAGTGTCACAACTGGAAACGAAAAGGGAAATGGTGCTGAGGTCTTGCGAGTCAAAAAATGGATTCTCACACAAGATCCCACATGTCAAAGACTGTTACAGTAAAATATTTCTGCATCGTCATCAGTTAGCTTAGAACGACCTCTGGGCTTGCACATCGTAAATCTGAGTTCACAAATAAGAAATACATTAATATACACTCAATATGTTAAGCACAGTCTCAGTTTTCACTCCCTTTGATTGGACGATAGGATTCAGGTTTCATTTCTGGAAATGGCCAGAAAAATGTGACCTGCACTTAGAACTAATTCATTCTGTCACCAGATGGCAGTGTTTGTAGGCTTCAACTCGCCCACTTGTGCTTTAAATCATTCAACTGCCTTGCATACCCAATCTGCCCAGAAAAGGCACCAACTTTCTTTCTCTGTTTTATAATAAAACCATGGTCACTGGTACTCTGGACTTACCCTCCGCCTGAAAATCAAAATGTATTGCACCATCTCCTCCAGAATTCAAAAATTGTGTCAGCAGCATTCCACAAAGAGTCGTGGAATACTTGCTAATTCATCTCCCAGAGTGTACCTGACTGCAGGTAGCTTCAGGTAAACATTAAGCACTGATCACCTTCAGCCATTGCACCCACTGTCTGAAACTCAACTACTACTATTACTCACGATATAGTGCCCTTCACATAGGCTAGCATCTGAGCCCTTGACTCTGTCCCCAAAACCCTTTCATTGCTGCTTCTGCCTGCCATAAAATCCCTTTAAAATTCTTTTTTGACGTTGACTTTGGCCAATGCCTTTAAATGCTCCTTACATTTCCCCCTGTTAGAATATACACTTTTTGTATACTGCTAGAATCATAATAGATGTTGTGAATGGGTTAACTTTTAGGTTAAGTGTGGGGGACAACGGGACTGACTGTCATGGGATAGGACACATCTGGTTTTCTCTGTTTTTGAAAGAATAATGGACAGCTTTGGAAAAGGGCAGGGGGTCACCTCTTATCAGTAAATGACAACAAGCCCACAGAGGGAACGGTCCAAGGTACCGGTCCACACAGGATCTCGACTTAGCAATAAGTCGTTAGATTCTGACAGGGCCAAGCGACAGAAGGTAACCTTCAAGAATAGCAACTAATGAGCAAGTTGCTGAAACTAGAGGACCTTGGTACCATCCCGGGATACTGATAAGGAATAACCAGTCACTTAAAAGGAATGTACTAATGATCCCACACCACAAAATAATGAGCACCAGATACAGCCCTAAACTGATCAATCCTCTATCTTAGACAATTAGATCAGATAACAGGGATCTTAAGGACAATGCGTATGTGTGCTGAGGCACGTACACCCCATAAGGTGTTCATGTGAACCCAGCATGATTTCGGCCAGGTGATCTAATGTCCGCACCATGATTGTACAAACATCAGTATAAGAGTCCCGGGCTGCGGAGACAAAGGTATGGGAGATGGGGCCATCCCGGGCTGCGGAGACAAGGGTATGGGAGATGGAAGACCGAGAGCTAGAAACTAAGACTGAGGATATCAGATGGGAGATTGAAAACTGTAAGCAAGAAGACTGAACGCATGAAGAATCAAGCTTGTGTGCTGTAAAGCCACAGTGATGAACTCGAGATATCTACGGTGGTATTATTCTGTTATAAGGTCTGTTGATTGTACCGGCCTTTGGTCTGACCCATCGGGATATTGGGGAATAACGAACGAATAATAATAAAACAATCTGATATCTGGTTGCAAACGGATTACGGCTGATTTTATTTTCTAACACCCCTCCCGCAGTGATAAAATAAAATAATCCTAGCATTTGACATAGCACTTTTCACATCTTCTAGACATCACAAAGCGCTTCACAGAATATACTGTAAAGTGAATTGACTGTATATTTGTGGGCGAAACACAGCAGCCAATTGCGCACAGCAGTGTCCCACAAACAGTCGTGGATTGAATGACCAAATTATTATTATTTTTTTCTTGAGAGATTATTATTAGGCGTGTGGAGTAAGGAAACTTGCCCAAAGTTTTGCCCTGCCGGGATCTGAACCCAGATCTCTCATGTGCGAGGCGAGTGCTTAACTACTGAGCTACAGGACTCCTGATGCCCTTCTACAAAACACTTTGAAAATTTGTCTGCAACAGGAAACAGGCTGACCAAATTAAATCTTTAATATCACAACAGAGGGGGGAAAAACACAATCAGACCATCAAGTAACCTTATTTAAATATATTCATATATACATAAAAAGAGATAAAGGTTTTGAAATAAATATTCGGCTTCACCTCAAATAAGTACAAGCGGATGATCATCAACAAGATTGTTTAGATATTTTCACACTTGCTAGAATTTCAAACTATCTCCAAACAAGTTTGTACCCAATGTGGTTTTTTGCAGTGCTTTTGAAAGATTAGGGTTCAAGTGCATTCCGGCATTTCACATGCACGCCTGATCAACCCGCCGAAGAAATGTGCATGCACGCACACAAGCGCACGCACGCGCAGGACTAGCTGTACTTGTGCACTCCTTTGCGAATTGCAGGTGCTGCCAAAATTATGCGCCAGGCAGCTGCCAAACACACACTGGACACAAACTGCTCCCACGCTTACTGCAAAACTATTTGTGTTTGAACAAGAAACAATGGCGAGGGGAAAAAAAAGCACAAAAGACTGGCTAGAACCAACTGCAAGTGTTGAGGGCTGCGAGCCATGCCCCTTGGGCAATTACATGCGTCAGATCAACAGGAAATTGTTCTGAGGAATGGAAGCACAATGGAGGCACGGAGCAGCAGGGCATCCTGATCTGAACAGACCAAACAACTACTAAGGGTGGACAGTTTTCTCTTCGGTTCCTTCCTTCCGTGCTTTCTTCCTCCAAATTCTCTTGCACGTCAAACTATCTCAAAGGTAACTTGTCAAGTGCAGTGCCATTTCATTTGGAGACAGATTCAGCAGGTGTCTTTCACACAATAAGCAGCAATAAGTGACTGACCAATCCAATTAATGTGGAGGATTTGCTGGCCTGGACACCGGGAAAGAGAAACCTCCTTCTCAATCTTTAACGTCCACCTGAACAGGACCTTGGTTTAACATCTCATCTGAAGAACATCACTCTCCCCCCACCCACAGCAGTGCATTGGAGTTGTCATCTTTGACTATTTGATTTCAGTCCCGTTTTGGGGGCTTGAACCCACAAATTTGACTCAGAGGTGTGAGCGCTACCACTGCGCCAGGCTGACAAACATTCAGCAGCCATAGCTGGAAAATCGCCAATCCATTCTGCTCATAATCTTTGAGAAACTTCGCTTTACCTTTGGAAAAAAATGGTTGAAAAATACTTACGAGGAAAATTGTACTTGAAGCATGCTTGGGCTGCGATCATCCATTCCGCTCGGGTTTCACAGAAAATAGCAATCATGTGATTTGCCTTCAGTCCCAAGGAAGACAGGCCACTGCCGAATAGGGTCACTCGCTGACTGACCTCCTCATAGTTTATCCACTTATACTCCCCTAGGATTAGCTGCGGATAAGTCAAAACACATATGCTGTCACCCAAGGAGAGTGAACCGACAAAGGCACGTCCTCCAAGAACAAACAATAAATACGAAAAAGGTAGTACTATAATCTACTCAAGCAGATTGGCATAGTCCCCACACGTACAGTTTATAATACAAAAGTCTAGATATCAGATGCTCTCTTGCAGACTTTCACACCTCATTCATAAAGGAAATTCCCAAGGAGCTCAATTTCCCCTGTTGTGCCAAACATTTCTTGATGTCTCAAATGTTTGGCACTAAAGAGGAAATATGTTTAACTTGTGGGAAAAGCACAAGAGCTTGTCCAAGATATTAACACTGCTGCCTTTCACATTGGGAGGATGTCCCAGTGGGACGTATGGATGTATCAATGGGAAAGCGATCACCAGGATAGCTAAACACCACATCAACTTTAGCGAGACAATATCGAAGCCCATCCCCAGGGCCTGGTTAATCCACAAGTTGATGGAGAATGAAAAGGAAAAGAAAAATGCCATTTGCTCATAGATTAATATTCCATCTTTAAAAGGCGATTGTAAAACATCACCACTGACTGTCTCAATAACAAGTCAATGAATATTCAAACTGCTCAACAGCTCTCCCCTCCCTATCCTTCACCACCACCCACCCCACCCCATTCAACAGCGATTGTTGTAGCTTTTGTGCATCTTAAGCATTATCTTAGGCCAGTCAAGTTTCTTACCTTTTTAAAAACTTTTCCATTTGTCTGGACCTCGTTTTCCTCGCTCAGCATCTCTCTCGTTCCCAGGCAATCTCCCTTCTGAAACTTCTTCACCGCTGCGTCAAAGAGTTTGTCAAGGGTGTCCACCCCAGGGAAGTCCATTTTGGCCAGGGAATCAAAGTGGTCCACGGATCGATAGGGGCTGCCTGGCTTCTCTGACGTGGGTTTGGCCTTCATGCGCTTTGCCATGGCCTTTTTCTTCTTTGCATCGGAGAGGAAATACCATGGGATAAAGGTGAGGGCCGAGTAAAGCCACATCAACAGGTAGATAGGGAGCAAAAAAACTGTAGGCATTTCCTGCTTAAGCATCATGGTGGATTTGTGCAGGAGTAGATCAGGAACCCCGAAAGTAGGTAAGCAATAAACTAGAGTGTCTGGTTCTCTCTCACTCGTTGTCTATGCTTTTTGAGCTTGGCTCAGGTTTCCAGAGGTTGGCAATAGAAGCTTCAAGTACAACTAAAACAATGCTGAAGAGTGACGAGATTTTAAACAAAACAGCAGAGAAAGCCTACTATGTCGCTTCTGAGAGCCAGCAGTTAAGATGCTGGTCGGGCCACAGGAAATGGAATGCAGAAAAGAATGAGAGAAAGAAAGTGAACACGTTAGTAACATGGTTAGCACACTACCCTAAAAGCAACTAGTTAAGCAGTGAAAGTGATTAATATCAATGAAGTGAGTCCACAAATTAGACAACGAGGGCTGATGTGATGCACAAATATTCTCACAGCAATATGACTCGATGGAAATTTCTATGCAGGAATCATGAAATAAGCCTTTCAAAAAGTCACAATGGAAAACAGAACCAGACTGAGACTGGAGCTCCTCTAGGCAGTAAATTTGTGGTCTTGCTCATGTTTTTGCAAAATAAAGCCATTCAATCAATTGCTCAACATACATACTGCACAAAACCTAATACTAAAGCTCACAACATCACATTTATTGACATACAATGAAACTAATGCAGGACCGGAATTATATAAGGGGATACACCATGACTCCAGTTTAAATAACTGGTTTTGTCAGAATCACAAAATGTTTGGGGTCTTTCACAATCTCATCTGAATAAAATCCACATAAAACACAATGAATAACTTCCTTAAAAATAGCTTTCACAATTATTACGGTGATACAGCTTCTTATGTATGTAACTGGAATGCAAATGGAGTCCTGTAGCTCAGTGGTTAGAGCACTCGCTTTGCAAGCGAGATACCCGATAATTCCAGGCCGGGCGAAACCTTGGGCAAGTTTCCTTACTCCACACAGAGCCTAATAATAATCCCTCCAAAACCAAAAACAATAATAAAAATTGGTCATTTTCAATCTACGACTGTTTGTGGGACGCTGCTGTGCGCAATTGGCTGCCGCGTTCACCCACAAATATACAGTCAATTCACTTTACAGTGTGTTCTGTGAAGCGCTTTGGGACGTCCTCCCGACGTGAAAGGCGCTATATCAAATGCAAGGATTATTATTAAATGATTAGAGTGCAAATGAATAACTCTAGGTAAAATAAGTTTGCAATGGTCAGTATCAGTCTATAAGGCAAAACAGCCTGGTGTGGACAGGGTATTCAACAAGGATAAATCTGGGAGTGGGAACCTGGGTGTCTCCCCTCTCACCTGGGGAATGGTGCACAGATTGGGAAAAATGAGCAAAGGAGAAAAACAACGTTAACACAAAAACGCTATGAATTGCTAAGTCAAAAACCAAACCTATCTCATTTCTGGACGGAGCAAATAATAATAATCCTTGCATTTAATATAGCGCTTTTCACGTCTTCTAGATGTCTCAAAGCGCTTCACAGAATACACTGTAAAGTGAATTGACTATACGTGTGAGCGAAATGTGGCAGCCAATTGCACCCAGCAGTGTCCCACAAACAGTCATGGATTGAAGTAACCAATTTTTTTTCTTGAGGGATTGTTATCAGGTGTGTGGAGTAAGGAAACTTGCCCAAGGTTTCACCCCGCTGGGAATTGAATCATTTCATATTTGCAGTCTGATTTTTTAAAGTCATTTTTAATACCAAGGAGCAGGCAACCTCTGATGTAAGGTTTATTTGGTACGAAGGTTCAATTCCCAAACAAGCTTTCCAAGCAAACTAAGGGAATTGATTTATTGACATTGATTTATTGTGATGGGTGAAAGACCATAATGTGATATTATAACTATTTCTTAACTAGATGTTGTGAAAGTAACTTTGATTTGATGACACCAATAGAATACTCACAAATTTATCCTGATTTATTTACTCACAGCATATAGCTACCAATTACCCTCAAATATTTGCCATATGACTGGTATAATCTGCCATTAGGAGCAGAATTCAATTGTATGTAAATATTTACAAATACATTTGGTGCTTCTGAAACACTGATATCAACGTGGCACTTGTTAGAACCTGTGAATGTTTTAGAGCAGTCAGCATTTTAAAAGACGACTCCAGTTTCTCATATAAGGCAGGCTTTCACTCGAGGCAAATAATGTTATGTTTTCCACTGATCTTCAGAGATTGGTGGCAGCAATACTTTTGGAGCCGCTGAACTGTATTGAAAGACAGAATTCAAAATAATGTATCAAATGTCAAATCTATGCTCTTTACAAACGTATTAAAATGGGCAGCTTGTAGACAATTCTGATGAACCTGCAGCGAAACCCCTTTTATAAACTAGCCTTGTTTGGCCTGCCATGTTGTCGCTTAAACATCCCTCGGGCACTTGCTCTGATAGCCAGTGACAGAGAGTTTTCTTGTGTGTTCTCACAGCCACTTAAGTCAAATACTTACAGCAAGTTCCCTTTGAAGGAGACTTCAGGTCCTTTTGGAAGTACTTTTGCCTTGGATTGGGATTAACCTACCAGTCAGAAACAAAGCGGTAATGTTATCAATACACAGACGCATGAGGGACATTTCATTGCAAAGCTCATTTTATTATTAGTAATAAAAACAGGACTGTGGAAATTCAAACAGATTGTGGGCTAGTCTTTATGAAGCATTTCAAAATAATGTAGAACGCTAGTTTCAAGTTGGTATCGAAAAATCTAAGTGTTAAAAAAGCAAACGGTATTAGACTGTACATGTAGTCAAATCTCAACTTCATCGTATCTCCCAATTGCTTATCTATAGAAACACATCTGTCCTCTCTTGAACGCATCAAATTGTCCTCGTTAGGTTAAAGGCTCAAGCCCTAGATTCCAATTGGACTGGAGTTTAAGCTAGATTGACACTTCAGTGTAGTTCATGGAGTGCTGCTTTGATGGAGGTGCCACCCTTCAGATGAGATGTTAGCACACGGTCCCATCTTCCAGTTTAGTTGGCTGTTAAAGATACAGTGATACTATGACACTCTTTGAAAAGAAAAGAGAATTTCTCCTGGTGTCCTGGAACACAATTTTCCAGAATTAATTGGTTATTCATCTCATTGTTGTCTGTGGAACATTGTTGATGCATAACTGGCTGCCAAGTTTACCTTCAAAACAGTCATTATACTTGCAAAGGGCTTTGAAAACTGACCTAATAACACTATAAAATACAAGGATGTTTATTGTTTCAAGAAAGTTGAAGTACAAAGAGTTAATTCAGTTCAATTTTGAGCCATTTATATTTTCGTAAATATTCAAAATGGGTTCTTTTAATTAGCTGCCAAAAACAATGCTTGTTTATTATTATTTATGATTAGATCAAAGGTTTGAGCCCTGGAGGTTTCTGCAAACTATCAAACTTGCTTGGCAAGCTCAAACAGGTGAAGTAACATTTGTTTAAAGGCCAACTCAATTTTCTTTGCTTGAACCATGTCCTCAACCGCCCTGACTAGGCATTGCTGCAATGGTAGAGAAACCTACAAAAATACTTTATTAAATATTGCAGAAGCTAAGCAAACTTTTTATTCACCAGGACAGGAAAGAACACTCAGAAAGTTTTGCTGATGTGAAATTTCTGAGAAAACAATTTCTAAGAAAACATATATAAATAAAATATACTTCTCAACTTCCCTGCATGGCTAATAGCCCCTCTCTCTAAAAAAAAAGTCTGATTAAAAAAAAACAATGGTTCAACCTTTATGCAACTTACACTACCAGGGTTTCACTTCGAGTTTTTTAGTCCAGGATCTGAAGTGAAGCCACGTTCGGTTTAGAGGGCTTCCGAGCTGAGTTTACACTTAACTGAGGTAAGCTGCAAGTCTGCAGAGAAAGCAGCTTTCAATCTGAAGAATCTGCTGAGCTCAGTGAGGATTGGAAACTATTACAGGAGGAGGTGCAGCTCTCCAAACAGCTGAGAATCCACTTGATCTTCACGGGCAATATTCACTCAGCTTTCTACATTATCACAGGATCTAGAACAGCAGTAATGTCACATAACAGGCTAACACCCCTCTCTTTGCCCCCACCACTCATGACCGTAAGTAAGTAAATGCCAAAACAAGTAACACGTTGGAGACAGTCTTTTCTACATGCAAACGTATTAATACTTTAACTTGAATTGCAAAATTATATGAAGGAGGCTAACTGCTATCCAGAAACTATGTATTTAGTCCACTCCACTGCCCTTTCCTGCAACTTCCTCCAGTGTTGCAAACTTTCTACAAATCGATGAAATGCTACACTGGCTGAATCAATAGACACTGATCACATTACGGGGAAATGCCAGATGGTTTGCAGTTAGAATGCTATCAAAAAGGAATACTATTATCAGATCTACAGAGTGCACCTTCTGTTCCCGATACACGTGAGCACCACCTGGCCAGCAAGTTACCCATTCTTATCCTTCCCCCACACACAACAGGTGACCAACATTTGTAAAAGCCTTGCCAAGCAAAAATAAGCATTCGGAGTACAAAAAAATTCAACAATTAATTTGGAGCTTTATAGAATAATAATCCTTCCATTTAAAATAACGCCTTATCACATCTCAAAGCACTTCACAGAATATATTGTAAAGTGGATTTCCTGTATTTTGTGGACTAAAATATGTAAGCACAATACATAAAAAAAGTTGCGTATAAAGGATTATAATGTATAAACAAAAATAAGTAGATAAGTGAATCGCATACTGACAACAGAACAATAATCCCTAGTTATCAAAATGGTTTGGAAAAAAATATTGAAAATACTGCAGTGTACATTACCTGCCCTGACTAAATTTCGTAACAATACACAGACCCAATAAACGTTATTAAAGTTTACATGTCTGGAAAAGTCACACAACACTCACAAATAAAGACTTTTATGCATCTGCCCAAACAATAATACATAAAGGGTTTTAGTTATTTGGACACATACAATGTAGTAAGTCCAGCTCAACCTGCAGACTTCCTACTTGGAGGCAATAACAGCAATGGGCCAAACCAGGGGCACAGAGTAGGCTGCTTGAAGATATAACCTTGAGGAGCCAGAAGAGAGAGATACAAACTTGTTGGTGCTTTAATTCCTCCAGGGTTCGATGACTGGTTCATACCAGCTTATGTCCCACTCTTTGGAGATAGTGGTAGTATTCTGTAAAGGTAGACACCCACTCGCTGTATGCATTGGGTACTGCACAATGTAAAAGACTGTGGACTGCCCTCACTCAGCACAAGCCTGCATGTTGGTGGCCCACTTCACCATAACCCTCCACAAGACCCTGAGCTACTAGCATTTTGAGCCAAATCTCCAGAGCACCAAACAACACATTTCAGAACATTCAGAAAATCAAAGTCAAAAGAAGTGAAGGAGATGAAGCGTGTTAGGCAACGGCAGCTCTTTACTAAGATATTGTAACTCACCTGATGTTCCTTCCCTTTGGCAAACGGAGGAATGATGTACAGATCCTATATCGTGCCCAGCTCTCTGAAACCTCTGCTTCAATTTCAGGTTACGTATAAAAAAAAACGGTAAATTCTGGACAAAAAACCTTCAGAAGAAAATAGATTAAAAATTTGCAGATAAAACCCCACAAATCTAATCAGTTAACATAATTAGATATGTAATCTTCAGCATATCAATCAATGAGTAAACAAGCACACATTACTTACACATGCAATGCACTAAACGAATGCAATGGTTACAAAAGATTAAATGCAATACGTAGTGCTTGGAACAAGCAGTGACATTCACTGAAGGTGTTAACGGATCACTCCTTTGTTTCTTGACAAATTTATCTGTTAGTGTCAAGATCGTATCCAAAATAAGCTTCACACTGTCAAACATTGAGGTCTTTGCAGTTTATAGATTTTTTAAAATACAAAAGAATTGATTGTTAAACATGCAAAAATGAAGAGCTTCAATTAAACTTTGTTGTTGGCGCATACAAAAGGGCTATATTTGTCCAGATACAAAACACATTTACTTGACTGGTTAGACATTAACATTAAGGGCAGCTGTTAGGAATCTAAAGCTGCCAGGATTTTTTTTTTTGGGGGTGTGGGGTGTGGGGGGAAAAGGGAAAAAGAGAGAGAGAAAAAGAGGAGAGAGACAAGAAGAATGAGTGTGCATATTTGGAAGGGTGTATGTGTTCGAATTTGCACGCGAGGGCATTGGCTTTACCACACATTTGAAGGTCAAGTCAATGAATCAGTTAAGTCAGACCTGCAGCAGAATACAGCAATGTGTGGCGAAACCAAGTCAAATGAGAAATTCCAGTTTTAGAAACTGTCACACACTCCGAAAACAGAACTGCAACAACTGGTACATTACAGCCTAATGCACATGTTGCCCACAACAACATGTTAACCTCGCAGAAAACTGGGCTGTAGGTGCCCCTAACTAGCACCTCATTGAATATTGAAGAAATGTTTTGACGCTATTTTCAATACACTTACCACCCAGGTAACATACAGTATTCCTTACACATTCATGACTATTGCAGGTACTGATTATCTCCAGAATCTCAATTCAGCAATCCGGACTAACATTGAGCTAACATACTCTAAAGAGGATACCCTTGAACTCTGCAAACATGACATTCTATTTCCCACAGTGAGGCAAATATTAAAGGCATTAATAGAGGTCCGATCCAATCAGAAAACCAAAAACGTGCACACCATAAGACACATAAATTATGGCCACTTGTTTGAAGGATGGAGGATGCCTGGCCAGCGCGGAACCTGACTCCGACAGGAGAAAATACAAAGGAGTAAAAATCAGCTAAAGAGAAAAAAAATGGTGTGGGGAGGAATTAAAGTCTCTTTCATAGCTTCCAGGCTTCTTCAGAGAACAGCTGAATGGAAACTTCCCTTCGCTGAACCCTTGATGCAACAGGGTGCTATGTCAAAACAAACAAACATGTAATTTTATAGGATGTCAACCACAATAGAAACTGTGAAAACATGCCTATTTTAATGTGTGACTTGCAGCCACTGAACAGTTAAGAGATCAAAATCATATACCAATTTCCAACGTCCCTTTTAGACATAAGCCAATGCAAGTCACAATATTCAATGCACATTTAGCTATGTTTCAACTCTAAGAGTTCCAGATGGCATAAATGACAGAACTCATGTACAGTATTTTCAGTGTATCACTGAATTTTTTTCCCATATACAGTACATTCCATGAAGGATGAGCATCTCCAACGCTTCACAATTTTGATAGCACTATTGACGAAGCTGTACAGTCACCTCAGAACAGTCATCTTTTTTATTAAAGGTAATTTGGCCTGCGCACAAACACTTCATTAAAACAGTCAGCACAATTACATAATTTCATAGTGGAAAGAATTTTGTTTCTCATAACTTTATCTTTGGGTGAGGCCAAAACCCATGCTACAATTATATCTCTCTGCCTCTTTAATACTTTCAGAGCAAAATTTTTTATTTACTTACTTAGTTCAGATCAGTGTGCTGGAGTGCAGCTGATGGCTTCACTGTAAATGTTTCCATGCAAGACTGTCCAGAGCAGAGTACAGTACTGGCAACTCCACCAGAAAACACACGCAAGCCAGGAAATAAAACTACAGCACATCACCTCACCAGTTGGATGAAGTGGGCAGACACCAGAGTATACGCAATACGTAGAACTCAATACACACTGTATAGTCACCTGCAAACTTTTTTTTTAAAAAAACAAAGAAAACCCACATCACTTCAGCTAAGACCAGTGGAGATACAATGCCCTGTTTATTTGGTTTTCCCTATTGGGCGTAAACCAGAACTTTTTCAAACTTAAAAAAATTCTCTTCTGATCAGAAGTTTTAAGTATTGCGCGGTTTAAACTAAAATAGTTTCTGCTGAATTCTGTGCTTTGAAGATTTCAAGGACTATGTGGAGAGCCACTACAAAAGATAAATTCAACATTAAGGGATCCTGACAAATGGCACAGAGGTGCCATTTGAATAATGTCAGAACTACAATAATACTTGCATTTGATATAGCGTCTTATCACATCTTCGAGACATCTCAACTACAGATCAGCGACTGAATTACAGACCCAACTTTTTCAAAATAACTGTTGGGCATCAGCTACAAACGAAACTAAGCAAGGATTTCAGCTACAAATCCGATTAAGATTTCTGAGGAGAAGCAATGCAGTCCACGAAAATATCAGAAAATCATGCTATGCAGGGAGTAAAAGATTGGGCCATTTTTACGGAAACAGAGAAGGTTGAGAGGACTTTGCTACCCTTATACATTGCCACTTTGTACAAATGATTAAGGAAATGTCACAGCTGTATGTCAAATTCTATCCATCCTTACCACAAAAGATCCCCAAGTCCTACCCGAAGTATGATCCTAAAGTACGAGAGGAGGGGGGACCATTGTCAATGGTGCAGCACGGTATTTGTCAGATAAGAGGCTAAAACTAAGTTCCTGTTTGTTCATTCAAGTGGATGTTAAAGACCCCATGACACTATTGAAAAAGAGAAGGGCGTTTCGCCCAGCGTGTTGGCCAACAATCCTCCAGTATAATTGGTGACTTACAACATGGCTGTTTATACCACTGTGCTGTCATGCTTGCCCAAAATGATTCTCGACAGTGATCATACATTGGGCACTTATACATTGCTACTTGATAAAAGTGTTAAAACAAATGCAATTTCTCCCTTAAATAAGGAATAAAACTGACGAGGCATTCCTTCAGAATAATGTATTTTGGCACAGCAACACGTTTCTTTAAAGTACTTTAGTTCAGCTTTACCTCATTGTCCACAACACATTTAACCAGAATTCTAAAAGTCACATGGGTTCCCATAGAAATAATATTTTAAAATTATCATTTTAACAGCAAGCCAGCATTAAATTCTAACTAACTCAAACTCACCTCTTAATACTTTCAACCAGCTGTGAGTGTCTGGAACGCACAGCAGAGACTGGCTGTTTTCATCATAAGCTTTGCCCTCCTCTCCCACGTATACAGACTGAGCTAAACTCTGGAAAAAGCTGATAGTTGTTACTTTTCCCTAATGCTTTGTGAATGGGGAGGAAGATAATTGACAGGAAGTGATTCAGAATTCTTAACAGATTTGGTCAGTGTTCACTTCGTAGGAGCTTAACGTCAGCAAGCATACTAGGTCAGACTGTGTGAAAGGCCAAACGCTGGCAAATAGCTTGGGCAAGCTACATGTAAGCAAGCTTCTGTACACACAGCATCATACAATAGGCAGCAAACTGTTCATTTACTGCCTTTTCAATTGCTAAACCAAGCATCATCACTTCAATCTATGGGAGATTGAAGAAAAGGAGCCACAATACTGAAAAGGCAGATTTATGCTCAGTTTCCATGTTCAGGAAAGAGATGGGATACGGTTTTGGGCAGCAATTGAAGCTTAATTTATTCTTGCCACTTTTAAATCACATTCTTCAAAAGTCTGAAGAGAATTCTTGCCTGAGAAATTTCTTCACCCAACGTCAACTGCTGTGATAAATCCCTACGGACAGCAACCTGTCCAGGACGTTACCCTGCGTGAAGGGCACTGTATAAATGCAAGTTGCCGTATGTCTAGTCTAAGATTCATATGATAGACAAATGTGATATTATCACAGACTTGTGCAACTTTATAGCACCCACAACTAATAACACAAAATTCCAGAGACCCATTCAGAAATTAAAACTCCATTTATGAACACTAGATGCTGCCTGGCCACTCAGCTTCAATTCCTCTCTCGGGTATCTATGCTTACTCATAGTTAACAAGCAAGCTGCCTTGCGATGCTTTCCCAAAGCAGTTTGCTAGGTAGGACATTAGAGTATGGTTTGTGTCTCTCTTGCAGAGACTGGATGTTGTGTGCAGACTAAAGAAACGAAACAGCTAGAGAAGGTCAACTGGGTACTACAAATCCTTGGAGGAAGAAGAGGGCAAAAGAAGGCGGGGAGCCACTTTGCACTGCTCCCCTATTAGCAGCACTGCCAGAGGAAACAGGAATGAGGGATCAAAAGACGGAGAAAGTAGCTCCAAAGCAGCTGGCTCGAGATATGATGGAAAGAAGGATGGGCCAAAAAATGTAATTAGTCATCATTGATGCAGAACTACAAAGTTAGTGATGACTTATAGAAGCTACAGATGCGGTCATTTAGTTAGCTGGGGGAAGGGTTAAATTAAGAGTTAAAAGCAAAGGCTTGAATTGAAGTTTCAGAAACCCTCCCCGTTCATTCCCATGAGGATAGATATTGTAAGTTATGTTAAAAATGGACAACTATTTAAAAAGAAATTAATGCAGTTATCATAATATGGAATGATTTGCTACAAGTGGATATTGAAATCAATGTTTATCCCCCCACCTCTCAACATCCCGAGTTGCTCAGACAAGCACTGGATCTTGGAGCAGAAGGTTCTGGGCTTAAACCTAAACTGCAAAAATTTCAGAAATAAACCTTGCACTCTCTGTAAAATTAAACAGATCTTGAGGTTACATAATGAATCAAACTGAACTGTCCTTGACTATTTGTGCCTCCAATACAATTACTTCCACATGCCTG